TGAAGAATTGATGCTTTTGAACTGTGGTGTTGGAGAAGACTCTTGAGAGTCCCTTGGACTGCAAGGAGATCCAACCAGTCCATCCTAAAGGAAATGTCCTGAATATTCCTTGGAAGGACTGATGCTGAAGCTGAAACTCCAATACTTTGGCCACCTGATGTGAAGAACTGACTCATTGGCAAAGACCCTGATGCTGGGAAAGATTGAAGGCAGGAGGAGAAGGGGACGACAGGATGAGATGGTTGGATGGCATCGCCGACTCGATGGACATGAGTTTGAGTAAGCTCCAGGGGTTGGTGATGGACAGGGAGGCCTGGCGTGCTGCAGCCCTTGGGGTCGCACAGAGTCAGACACGACTGAGCGACTGAACTGAACAGCACGCGTTCATCTTCATAACAGCCCTGGGTGGCAGGTATCATTATCTACCGCTTTACAGATTAAAAAAAATCAAGCTTAGGGAGGTTAAGAGACTTTGCTGAGGATGCACAGCTAGTGGACGGGGAAGTGGAGATTCAGACTCAAGCCGTTCTGAGTGCAAAGCCTGTACTGCCTTGAGTCATCACCAGTTGTGATTGTCACTAGCAGTGGACTGTCAACCCTAGGGAGCATTCAGGGTCTGTGTCTTAGCCTGGACTTCCCAGAGTGTTGGCACTGAGCCATATATGGAGCTGACACTCTCCAAAGATCCAAAAGTTGAGTTTGTGGGGCCAAGCCTTTCCTGGACATGTGGATGGAGAGGAGGGTGACGGACAGCTCTCACTCACTCTCAGCAAGAATCTGGTGAGAGACTGATCCCACCTGCCCAGCCCCCTGCAGGCCATTGCTGGTCAGGAGAGTAGACACTTCAGTCTACACAATGAACTGGGCTTGGGCTGACCCAGACCCATGAGGTGACCTCATATGGTGGTTGGCCCATTCCAGCTCTAACTTCCAGGAATAATGATGCCAGTCACACACTCATCAAATGCCTGAAGGTGCTCTGAAGGGGTGACACAGCCAGAACAAAGAGACTCCAGCCTTTATTTATAAGGTGAGAGTGATGGATCACACTTTGTATAATCAGTTCTTCCATGCAGACTGGAGGGAAAGAAAGGAGGCAATTTTTTTTTTTCTTTCCAGGCACATCTGTGATTTTTATTTTGCATAAATGCATATGCTATACTGGCAACTCCTAGTATATAAAGATGTATATACTTCCCTAAAATGGCTAGCGGCATAGTCCAGCCTCAGGTTAGACCTGGTAGAAGTGGTTGGGCTAAGCTTTTCCCTCAAAATGAGCCCTGGGTGGTGGTGTCATTAGTGAGCAAGGCTGGGAAGTCACCTGGCCCTGTGGGAGGTGTGATCTGGGGGAAGTCCAAACTTTGTTAAGACTTTTATCTTCATTTTCAAACTTCATGGGCTAGTTTAGCTTCTTGCTATGGTGGTTTTCAGTTAATTTTTTTTTAAACTTTTAATTTTGTGTTAGGGTATAGCCGATTCACAAACAATGTTGTGATAGTTTCAGGGGAACAGCAAAGGGACTCAGCCATGTATATACATGTGTCCATTCTCCTCCAAACTCCAGGAGGCAATGTATTTTTCCTCCTTTCCCTGTGGACACCTTTATTCTAAATACAAGCATCCAAGCCAGCTGTTCCTCCATCCCAAGATGTGAACCTCAAGTAGGCTGCCCACAGCACCACCCCCCAACCCCCAGCAATGGGAGTGTCCACCCTGCCTCAAGGTGACTCTGGCGAGGTGTCCCTAACCTCACTTTCGGAGGCTCCGTTGCCCGTGTGGGATCAGGCAGTGGGCAGTGGTACTGCAGGGGATTGTAGTGATAACAGTGACTCCTTTTACTGAGCACGTACTGCGTGCTGGCGCTCTGCTAGGTGCCTGACATAGCTTTTCTCCAGTCTTCCGTCCCCGTATAAGGAGGGACTCGGCGTACTGGCATTCCAACTCAGGTCCATGTGACTCTGAAACTCAGGAACACCCCTCTGCCTCGAGGCCCTCTCCACGTTGCTAGGCACCAAGGCTTGAGTTCCAGAGCTGGCATGACTTCTCACCTGCCCTGTGATATCAGGCGACTTCATTCCTCTCTCTGGGCCCCAATTTCTTAAGCAAAATAAGGAGGTTGGATGAGACATCTCTAGGTTGCCTCTAGTTCTCCGAGTCTAAGAACACCTCTCCTCAGAAGATGTTGGCCAAAGGGCACTGGAATTCCAGTGTTGGGGATCCCAGTCCCTCTTCTGTTTGGATGGGTTGACATCAAGCTGGGGTGTGTCTCCTGGGGCCATTCAGGGCTCTGAGAAACCTCTCCTACCTTTTGGTGAAAGACCTAAAGAGAAGCTTCAAATGTGAGGTGGGAGTGGGCAGCCCAGCTATGGCATGGCTGGGGGAGTAGAGGGATCCTTATTGTAATCTCAGGATTCCTGGGCAACCCAGTGGACCACTTTGGGTTTTTTATTTTGTTTTTGTTTTTTTTCCACCTGTGCTCATTACCTGAGTGCTTTTCTCTTTTTATTATTTTCTTTTTATTTGCTTGGCTGTGTTGGGTCTTAGTTGTGTCGTGCGGGATATTTCCTTGGGGCGCGTGGACGCTCTAGTTGTGGCACACGGGCTTCAGAATGCATGGGATTAGTTGCTCTGTGGCATGTGGGATCTTAGTTCCCCAGGGAAGGTTGGAACCCACATCCCCTGCCCCAGTGAGACTTTCTGAATCAAGGCCCAATCGGAGGTCACAGCTTAGAGGTTATCATGTCCAACCCCCTCATTTTACAGATGGAGAGACTCAGTCTCAGAGTGAATTACAGTGAGGGCTCAGGTTCCATCTCTTTTTAGTTTATTCTCTCAATCACAGGCTTTACAAGACTCCCCTTCCTGAAGGAGGAGGAGACAGAACTAAAAACAATTGAAATCTCAATTGTTGGTGATTTTTATCCAGAGGTCTCTTGATTTCCAACCCAGTATTTTTCCACTCCTACCTCCTGCCTTGCCAGAAAAATATTTAATATGTTTGTGAAACATCAGTGCTAGGGCAACCTCTAATATTGGGATGACAAACCCTTGGAATTCCGGATGCCTATCCCGTTTCCTGGCCATGTAGGCATCACAAGTGGCTCACTAATCTTCTTCCCATTGAGCCCAAGTGAGGCCTTAGTTCTTTTTTTTTCTTTTTCCTGTTAAAATATTAGTTTATTTCATGTCTTTGCTGTGCCCAGCAAATTATGTCAGTTATTTTTAATCCCAGTTAGAGACGTTTAAATTTATTTTAGAAGGATAAGTGAAACCAACCCCAGCAGGGCTTGTCCATATCAGCTCATATCTCCAGTCAATCTGCATTTTGTTCTGATAAAATGTGTTTTAGAATTTTCAGCACAAGGGTAAAAGTCCCTTTAAAAATTAGATGGTAAATTGTAAGACCGATAAAGACGTTATTCTTAAAATATACGTGCTTTCTGGCACGTCTTGTTTCTTACTGTGGGAATGGATGAGGGAAGGAAACATGAAGCTGGAGTGATTTAAAAGCGGTTTCCTGAAAACTCTCTCTCATTTAAAAAGTATGTTCCTTGAATGTGCACTGTGCGTCCACCCTGTACTTTTTGCAGATTTCAGCAAGGGCTAGGGCTTGTGATTTAGAAGGAAAAATTAATCCCTTCCTCACCTAGCTGTTTAACTTAATGGAGGTTTTCTCAGTTCTTTACACTGAGCTCCAGCCAGGCGTTACCACGTGATCAGAGTTGGCCTGTGGTTTTGATGCTGTCTGCCTTTCCCGATCAGCTCGATGACCTCGGTCATCCTCAACAACACTGTGAACCGAGCTCTTGGTTTGTCCTGGGCTCTGTCCTGACCACCATGTGTTAAGGGTGCCATCGCCTTTAACCTTGACAACAAGCCTATGGGTAGGTCCTGTTATGATCACCCTCACGTAGGCGAGGAGACTGAAGTCCAAGGCCCCCAAGTCACTAGCGGTGGAGCCGGAAGAAGAAACCGGTCTCTCACGCAACATCCAGTCCTCTTGCAGATGGCCCAGCGCCACAGCTAAAACCTGCCACTTCCCCCCTAGGCTGACTTAGTGACATCTTCCCCGTTTGTCTTTTCTAAAGGAGAAACCCCATCCTGAACTTCTCTGCTCAGCCTTTGCCTCTGCCCCCGAAGCCGCCTCTGCCAGGCCCCGGGCAGTACGAGATCGTGGACTACACGGGACCCCGCAAGCACTTCATCTCCAGTGCGTCTTTCGTGTCCAACACCAGCCGGTGGACAGCGGGGCCGTCCCAGCCAGGCCTGCCCGGCCCAGGTCAGAGGACTGCTTTCAGTGATTGTAAAAACTAAATCTGGAATTGTTTGTCATTCCTGGGCCATCAAATGCCACTGATTTATAGGCTGTTTGCCAAACACTTTACAGGGGTTAGAGTGGATAGAGAAGACTTTTCAGCTTACACTTTCAGAGTATGAAAGGTTTTTTTTTTTTTTAAGGTGAAAGGGCTCTTAGAGATGATCCAGGCTGGGGATTTGTAACTGAGAACCATGAATGTTCAGGGGCTTCCCAGGTGGCTCAGTGGTAAATAATCTGCCTGCCAATGCAGGAGATACGGGTTCGATCCCTAGATTGGGAAGATCCCTTGGAGAAGGAAGTGGCAACCCACTCCAGTATTCTTGCCTGGGAAATCCCATGGACAGAGCATCTGGTGGGCTACAGTCTATGGGGTTGCAAGAGCTGGACATGACTTAGTGGCTAAACAACAACGACAACAGGAATATTCAACAGCCACAAAGATGGGCTGTAGGGGGTCTGTGACCTTGAAGCTGTCTGCAGATTGGGAGCATGCAGACATCATTTTCTGGGGGAAAGAGCCACAACTTTTGTCTAAAAAGCTCATGTTCTTAAAAATGTTTAAGCCATGGTTCTAATCTGATGGGGTCACTTCCCAGATGGGGAGGGCCCAGAGAGGGAGGTGTCCCAGCCCAAGGAGGAGGAGTGGCAAGGCCGAGACCCACACTCTCTTCCCTTGATGCCTCGTCTGTCTTGAAATAAACCAGGGCTCCATCTGAGCGGCTCTTTCAAGCCACCTAGTTCTGCTCCCTTTTACAGGTGAGCTTGAGTGGTGGGACCCTGTTACCCTCCCCCTCAAGATCTGCCTGAGAGCTGACAGCCGGGGGACGTATTCCAGCGGGGGGGTCTGCATTCCCCCCACCTACTTGTAGTTCTCAGTGGAGCTCTTTAGCCATTTACGGCCCCCACGATGGCAGAGTTGATGGCATTGGGGACTGTGCCGGTGGGCAGGTGACCTGGGAGGGGGACGGCAGGACTTCAGGGACTGCCAGGCCTGTGAAAGTCAGTCTTTCAATGAGCATCTCTGAGGCTCCCACCCTAGGGTGGCAAAGATGACTCAAGTCCAGTGCCAGGCCCCAAAAGCGTCCCCATCCCTCCACACACACAGGTGAGTAAAATGTAAGGTAGACTGGACAGGGAGAATGTCATTCCCGAGGCTCTGTCCCTGGAAACATAGTGATAATCAAGCCAGTAAGACGGCAGAGGTTCGACCTTGGGCTCATCTGGTCAGTCCAGGCAGAACTCGGCTCGGTCCAGCAAGTGTACTAAGGTGCCACGTGAGTGGTGAGCGCGAGGACCCCGGGGACAGCAGGATCCTGGTCTGCCCCTGTTTTTCTTGGTCCTCTAGGAGCTTTCTCTGAGCATCTTCTCCATGCCGGTGCCTGGAGCGCAGGTGCAGGCTAGTTCATGCTGCTGTGTTCCCCTAGGCCAAGGTGGGCTTCCCCGAGGGCCCCCCAGCCTAAGCACCTGCAAACATCTGCCTTCTTGGTTTCTGTACCTTCCTAGACAGTCGTGGCTCCCATCAGCGGCTCCCTCATGAACCAAATCTGCATCAGCGTAAGAGTTTGCAGTCACCCCAGGTTGTGGTTCGCAAGCCCTGCATGATCCTGGCTGCTGTTGTCATGACTTTCAGGGTTTGGGGGGGGGGGTTTGGAAATTTCTGAACTAAATCAAAGCAAAACCCCATTAAGCTGACCCTCTGCTTCTTTAAGACTATTGTTCTCCTCATTCCCCAGCCCCCCTCAAATTTTATACAAAATTCTTTTGCAAATTTTCTTCTGTTAAAGAAGTTAGTGAGTTGAAGAAGGTGGGAAACCAGAGTTTGAGTCCTTCCCAGGCCAGTCCAGAGCTGGACGACCTCGGGCCAATCCCTGCCTCCCTGGTTCCCCACAATGTCGGGTGCAGGGGGCCTGATCAGGGGGGGTCCCGGGGGGGTCCCGCCCCCGGCCTCTCTGACGCCAAGTGTCAGGGCCTTGAGGACTGGCCTTTTCTTTCTCAACACACTCTCTCTCTCTCTCCACAGCCACGTACAAGCCGGAATTCCCTGGCAAACAGTCGTTTCTCTACAATGAGGACAACAAATGGATCCCAGTGTTGTAGGCTCCGCATTCGAGCTCAAGGAGACCCCCAGCCACCCCCCCAGGCACCCCAGAGGGTCAGCAGGGATTGTCCATCTCCTGTGTGTGTGACAGCTGATGGCACAGGGTGGCCTGCCCTCTCCCTTCATCCCTGGCCTGCTGTTGCAACCGGGCTGCCATGCTTGTCCTGAGCCGCCCCCTGGAGCATGGAGGCCCCCGAAGCATTGAGCCCCTTGGATTCCTGAGCAGAAGCGAGGGGTGAACAGAGCCCCCACCCTCGGCCATTTCACCCCTCGCGCCCGTTCAGGCCGGCTCAGTCTCCAGCAGCTCGCGGAACTCCGCCTCCAAGAGGAGGCCGCTGACAGCCGATGCCCCATCCCGAAGCCTGATGCTGAGCCAGGGCCCTGCGGCCGTGGCCCTGGCACCCTCCCATCCTTTGGCCTTTGACCTCCACATCCCTCCCGAAACTCTAGGGTCCAGGAAGGCCCAGAGACCCAGTGCCAGGGACCTGGAGGGGTTGCCTGGCCCTTGCCCCCAGCCCAGGCATCGTGTCTCACCTCAGGAGAGCATGGCAGCATCGCTGTGGTCTTGTGAGCTCATCACCTGCCCTCAGGGGAGGCCAACCCATCCGTTTATCGGCTCTGTGCCCAAGGGGCAGGCGCAGGCGGGACCCTCCGGGGGCAGAGTCGCAGGCACAGTGGATCTGAGGGGTGCCTGTAGGTCCTTTCACCCTGCTTTCCCCTTTCCTGGCCATCTCTGTCTCCCTCACCTCCTACTCAAGTTGAATATGACCTTTACTGAACCTTTTCAAGCCTGTCAAGTCAGTCCCCCTTGGCAAGAAAAAGGGATTCTCAAGGAACCCATAGGAGCTAGAGTGAACCACACGCCCCTCCTTCCCTAGCCACCCCGTGGCTTTGACCTTCCTAAGTGGAAGCCTCCTACACCTCCCTGCGTCCCACCACTTGCCCTTGACTCTCTCCTTAGACTTTGCTTCGTGACTTTTAGCTCAGAGCTGGTCACTGATGGACTCTCCTTTCGGGGAAGGGCTACTGAGGAAGAGGGCAGAAGGAGGATGGAATAGCGTGTCCATTTAAACCGAGTTCTCATTTCTCACAAAACCTGGCCTTGCTGTAAACCTCAGGCTCCTGGCAAGTGCCCCCACTGCTCTGGATGAGCAGGAGGCAGCCGGGAGTGTAGCCCCAGGAGCGTCCAGAATCTGAACCTAAAGGCGGGCACCTTGTGCTGCGTCCGCTCTGACCCTAGCTTCTCCTGGGGGTCAAGCTGGAGCGGAATTTGGAGGCTCAAGGTCAAGCACTTCCGGGGCTGGGTGGGCAAGGCAGGGGGTAAAACAGGTGAGGCGAGAGGAGGTCCGGGAGCTGAGGCCGCTGTCCATCTAAAGGCCTGCTACCTATCTCCAGATCTGCAGATTCTTCAGGAGAACCTGGGAAATCTGAAACTTCTCGATTGGAAATGTGAACAACCTTATTTCAACTAAAATTTTTTTATTCGGGCTAAAGGAAACTCTTCTGCCAGTCATCATTTGTCCACTTGGGCACTAGGAATTCTGAAAGACCCCTTCAAGGCTGACATTGAAGTCACACCTTTCTTTGACTCTTGACAATATGGCCAGACCTGAAGGCCTTGACTTTTAGGTCCCTCTGACCCCAGGGGACCTTAGCTGGTCCCTGGGCTGGAAGCAACCAGCCCTGGGGTCCCTGCAGGCCGAGGCTGGTGGGACTGCATAGAAAAGAAGATAGGCTGCTCCTCTCAGGGACACCTGGGCTGTGTACCGGATGAGGAGTGTCTCTGTAGAAACGCCTCCCAGTGGATCAGGACAGTGGACACTCTGGGAGGAGGACGGCAGGGCCACTGTCAGGGCTGCTCTTGGCCAGGCAGAATCGGCGTTCCACAGAAGACAGGGCTGGAGCTGAGACTCTGAGCTCTGAGGGTGTGTCTGGGCGGTAGCCAGCCTCTCTGAAGATGTCGTAGGCTGCTCACAGCTCCATCCTGCCCCGAGGTCCTCAGGCCCCAGCTGTATGGTAGGATCACTTCGGGAGCCGTTCGAGAGTCATACCACCTAGGCCCGAGCCTCACAGTTCTGATTTAACAGACTTGAGGTAGGGTTTGGGCTGTGGTATCTGTGTAAAAGTTCTTGGTGTGATTACAGAGAGTCTAGTTAGGGTTAGGATACACTGATATTTTAATAAAGTATTTTCCAAATTTTAATGTGCATGCAAATCACTTGGAGATCTTATTAAAAGTTCTATAGACCTGGGTGGGACATCCCTGGTGGCTCAGAGGTTAAAGTGTCTGCCTGCAATGCGAGAGATTTGGGTTCGATCCCTGGGTCGGGAAGATCCCCTGGAGAAGGAAATGGCAACCCACTCCAGTATTCTTGCCTGGAGAATCCCATGGACGGAGGAGCCTGGTGGGCTACAGTCCACGGGGTCGCAAAAAGTCGGACACGACTGAGCGATTTCACTTCACTTATAGACCTGGGTGGGGCTTGAGAATCTACAGATCTGTTTTTTTAATTGATATGTAATTGAAATAAAACATTGTACTAGTTTTAGGTGTGTTTCAAACAAGTTCCCAGGTGATGCCGATGCCACTGGTCTGTGGACCCCACTTAAAAGTACCAAAGGTCTAGTGCTGTGCTGAGTCGCTCAGTCGTGTCTGACTCTCTGCGACCCCAGGGATTGTAGCCCACCAGGCGCCTCTGTCCATGGGATTCCCCCGGCTAGAATGCTGGAGTGGGTTGCCATGCCCTCCTCCAGAGGATCTTCCCCACCCAGGGATCGAACCCAGGTCTCCCGCATCGCAGACGGGTTCTTTACCGACTGAGCCCCCAGGAAGGCCCAAAGATGCAGTGAACATACCCAATTGTTGAATTCTTCATCTGGCCCTCCCTGCGTTCATCCACCTGCCTGTCAGCTTACTGTCCTCCCCTCCCTTCCTCCCTCCTTCTCATCTCCTCACTTCTCCTTCATTCCCTCTCTCCTGAGGTCCTCATCCATCCCTTTCTCCCCTTGCCTCCCTCATTATCTACCACACAACCTCCTGCAGGCAGAGGATGGCATCTCTACCAGCCACCAGCTGGCTTTATAAAGTGACCCCTCTTTGGAGAGGACTTACCTTCATCCTCTTGCCTTTTCCACCCTTTGGAGGAAAGGCAGACCCCGAATGGCTGCTGTCGGGCTCAGGAACTGCCCTTTGCTCCGTGATGGTCTCTGAGGGCAGGGCAGAATTTCCTCAAGCCTTCCAGGGTTCTCTCTGAGCTCCCAACAGCCTTCCTAAGGCACTGACTGCCTCGTCTCTATGTGTGGAGGGGCGAGCAGTGGGCCTCAGAGGCTTTGCTGGAGGCTGTGAGTGGAGGGCGTATGTGGGGACCCCCTCCTGAGCTCAGCAGCAGGCTGTGCCCTGGTCTCCCTGTGTGCCTGAGTCCCTAGCAGACACTCGCAGTTTCAGAGGTGGCGAGGTCTGTATAAGCACCGATCCTGCAGTGTGAGCTCAAGGCTGATGTAACTGCTGCTCTAAGCCTCTTTAAAGCAGTGGTTCTCGACCTTGAGTGCACATTGTAGTATCTGGGGGTGGGGGGTGGGGCGAGCTTTAAAGGTACTGAGGTCTGGCTCCAATCCCGGAAATTCTGATTTAGTTGCTGTAGGGTACGATCCGGGCAGCAGGGATGAAAGCTGCCGGGGTGATGAATTCCAAGGTGCGGTCAAGGTTGAGAAGTCCACCTTCCTGTTTCCGGTGGTTCCGGAAGGAAAGGAACAGATGCTGAGCGTCTCTGGCCGGCCTGTCAGCGTGCTGACACTCCACACACACTCTGCGCTTTCACCCTCATGGTGATGTCGCGGCAGCAGTGAGGCCTGCTGAGCCCTCAGTGAGGGCTGAGCAGTCTGGGTGCTTCACGGGGTCTCTCCGGCAGGGCCGGGGAAGCGGTACTGGAGTCTGAGGCCAAAGGAAAACATCTGCAATACTGACACTCCCTTCAAAGTTTTGATATTTAATCTTTTTTTTTTTTGGCCTTAATTTCAAAAAGCATTGCACTGGACAACGATTAATCTTGATTACTGAGCTCTCTGGCTAGGGCTAGGCCTCCCTGGCCTGACCTGAGTCCTGGCCCCAGGGCATTGGGAACTAGGAACTCTGGATTGGCTGGCAGAGCTGGAAGGCCCTTGGGGACATCCGTGGTTTTCAAACTTTTTTAGTTCAGACAAAAGTTAGTATGAGAAATTGTTCATGAAGAAAAGCAGAGCAGCTGTGACTGAAATCTGGGGAGGACACCCAAGGACTGCCTGCTGTCCCATGCCCCACATTTTGGGGGGTTCGAGACCCACCAGTGAGCCCTGGGGCTCTAAAGGTGACAGCTACCTGATGACGCAGGTAGAACATGCCCCTCATTTTACAGGCAAAGAAGTTGAGGACTGTAGGGGGGAGTGTGTGGGTAAGCTGGAAGGAAGGAAGGATGCTCTGATTTGTCCCGTTCTCCAGGGGAAATGGAGACTGATTTGTAGCGCTTGTCAATTCTTGTGGCGTAAACACTCGTTCCAGCATAATGACGTTACTGACCGCAGAGCTGGGGGGAGAGGGCACGATTGAGTCTGAGCAGGTAGGAGCTGGCTCCAGGAAAAGTGAGTTGGTGGAGAGCTTGGGTCCATGACTATCTGCCCTGGGCTCTGTCCACTGCCCCGCTGCGAGGGCATCCTAGGCCTCTTTCATCTCCAGAGTCAGTGACCCTGAGGTGGTGACGTCCGCCTGTGGGGCCAGAGAGGACAGCCTCACAGGGCCCACGACGGGAATCAGGACCCTCACCCTTGCAGGGTGGCCCCGCTGGTTCACCAGGACCCAGCATTGACCACCATCTTTCAAGTCCAAGGAAACTGCTCACAGGATAGAGGAGAGAGGTCTTGTTTACGGTCACCCTTTCCTTCTGGAAGACTCTCACAAGAGGAACTAGTGTGACATTTGAAGTAATACATACGGAGAATTTTATTACTAAATAGCACATGAGTATACAAAATGCATAACTGAATAACAGCTAAAAAAATAATCCAAGAAATGTGAAATACACATTTTTTGAAATGATAAAAATGTATCCATGAAAAATATAAAATGTTGCTTATATATACAATATATACTTATATATATATAACATAAATGAAAATTGTAAATAAGAAATGTATACAACAGTGAGTGGGGATGGAGGCTGTTCCACACAGAGGCCACTTTGCCCCAGTCGATCAGCTCTGATTTCCAACCTGTGTTGAAGAAGTAAAGTCTATGTGGAGAGTGTGTCCACTACACTGTCTTTTTAAAAGTCATTTGCACTGGAAAGTCAAGTGTTTGACAGTTAACTCAGTGACCAAAGGGTGAGCACTCGTTGGTCTGAAGTTGATGGAAGAGTCAAAAGTGGGTCCAAGGGTCAAGTCGGCTTGGGGAGACAGGGCTGGCGTCCCCAACCTGAATGGGCAGCCTGAGGGCGATGGGCTGGGGAGAAGGTCTGAGGAGGAGCAAACAGGCCCCTGGGCTGGTTAACGGACACGACGTCGTCTGGCCGGAAGCTCGGAGAGCGGATTCAAGCACGAGGTGGGGCTTCAGATCAGGGCCCCTCCGGGCCTCGATGTCTGTGGGTCTGTGGGTCGAGGGCCTCTGCAGGGAAGACGTCCAAGTAACGGCGCTGGGGCCCGAGGAGAGGTCGTGTGTGGCTGGGGGCCACTGCCCAGCTGGCTCCCCGCCTGCAGCCCATGTCAGGAGGCCGTGGGTGTGGGCGCGCAGGCCTCACAGCTCCTTGAGGATGATCTGAATCTTGCCGTCGAGCTCCCCCATGTCCAGCAGGAAGGCGACATGGTTGCTGTAATGCCGGATGATGTTGTTGTCCATGTTGACCAGGATTCTGGGAGAGGAGAGAAGAGGTGTGCTTAGAGGGTGAAAGGCCTCTTCCCCCACAGGGCCTCTGAGTGAAGGGTGACAGACATGGTGACCATCTGTGGGGGCCCCCGGCACTTCCAGCACCTCTTGGACTTGCTCTCTGACCCTCGGAACAGCCCGCACACGGGGGCATTCACTGCCCCTTTTTACTGGGGAGGACACAATTCCCCAGGAGACGAGCCCAGCTCAAACTCGGACCTGCTGGCGGCCGCGCCTCGCCTACTGCACCAGATTGCCTCTCCTCACACGCAGTGAGTGTGGACACTTGTGAGCAAATAACACACAGATGTGGGGAAGACGCAGCACTCCTTAGTTCCCAGGCCAGGCCACGCACTTGGATGCAGAGTGTGTGCTCAAGTGCAGGCGGTGTGGTGGTGGGCCCATGAGGGGTGGGTTCAACAGGAGGCGGTGACATGTCGCCCCGGGGTGCCTGCCTGATCCCCAAGCCGATGCCACAAGGGGCCCCTCAGTTCCACCCCAGGAAGCTGACATCTCAGAGATGCCATCACAGATTTGAGGGGCAGGGCCCTCTCCCCCTCACATTCTTCAGACAAGGACCTGGGCCAACCTGAGAGGGACAGAGCCTCTGGGGCCATAGCGCCTCAAGGCCATAGTGTAGCCAAGGGCACCCCTCTAGGCGCCGCCTCCCCTGGGAAGGACCTGCCGGGCTGTGACCTGACCTGTGCACAACAGCTTCCTGTTTGTGCTGGGGGTAGGTGCTTCCCCTCATTCACTTCACCAGCATCTGCTGAGGTCTTGCCAAGTGCAAGGCCTTGTTCCAAACAAAAACAGGGGCCCACACACAGAGATCCCAGGCCCCTCCCTCTAGGAGTTTCAAATCTAGTAGGGCCTGGGAGAATGAATCCTGATAACCATATTACTCCAGTTCACAGATGGGGAAGCTGAGCACTCATTTGCCTGGGGTCACACAGCTAAGAAATGGCAGAACTGGAATCTGGACTTTTGTCTCATTCCACTGCATTGTTTTTTTAAGAAAAATAACAACAAAACCCTATAAATACAAGCTAGGAAGGGGCACATAAAAGGAAGGTAAAATCCAGGGCTGGGGGAGAGTTCAAGATCAGGCAAGATGATCTGCATCGGGCAGGAGTGGGGCTGAGAGGCCCAGACTGCTCCTCCTGGCGGCAGCCAGCTGTCTGCTTCCTGGGGGCCCCAGGAGAGGCGTGATCTTGTCCTCCCTGGACCCCCAGCTCAGGAGAGGCGATGGAGGCAGGGAAGCTGAAGCCTGTGGTCTCTGTCCAGTCACCTCGGCAGCAGCCTTGAGCAACTGCCGCTCTCTGGAAGGAGGTCTGGGCTCAGGCTCCGAGGCCTGGGCGCTGACTGCCAGCATCTAATTCTAAGATCTGGCTTCCTCGGGTCCTGAGTGCAGTGCCTTCATTTCAGAGGGATCTTGGTCTGGAGGATGCAGGCTGCAGACACACCAGAGGAGACCAGGGCTGGGGCTGGAGGGGTGAGTGCTTTGTCAGTGTTGGGGCTTTTTGCTAGTTTCCGATAGTGGCATTTATTGAGTGCTTCTAGGTGCCGGGCACTGTCTAAGGGCACTGTGTGCACCAACCTCTCAGGCAGGGCCTCCCAGCAGGCCCAGAGTGCATGCCCGCACATAAGGGATCCCAGACAGGGCCCCCAAACCTCTTCCCCTCAGGGGTCAATGACAACCGGGCCCCAGAGGCAGGGACTTGTCCCAGAATGTGGGCCTCGTGTCATTTGCCAGCTTCAGGCTGTCTTCTGTCCTGGTTCACAGAGAACCCCTGGCCAGCTGCCAGCAAAAACAATGTATTTGTTAATCTTTCAAGCACTCAGCAGTGCTTGTAAAGCTGATTGTATCTACCTTTGTCCAAAGGACTTTCTGGAAGGTTCTGTGAAAATAAACGAGGCCAGTGATGACAATAGCCTGCTCCAAAGATGAGGGAGGCAGCTAAGGAGCCTGGCCTCTCTCCCGACAGACTTTTGGGGTAGTCTTCTCATTTAGGCATCTCAGATGATCCTAGGCCTGGGGTTTTCATGGTTGGGGCATGTATGGGGTGTGGGTGCTTCTGAAAGGCCGCTGGGTGATGCCCTGGGCTATGGGGCTAGGAAAATAAATCCGCTGGCCTAGCCACAAGCTTTATTTGCACATTGCTTAGCGGTTAGAGGAACAAGCAGGAAGCAAGATAAAGTAGTGGGTGCATGCATGGGTTTTAGACAGGCCAGGATTCCTTCTGCCAGGTACTCACTCTATCACCCAGGGATTACCCTGAAGCCCTGTTTCCTCATCTGTAGAAATAGCAAATTCTAAGGGTCAATGAGACAAGGCTTGGGGGTTCCTTAACCCAGCATCTGGCAAGTAGGAAGTGCTCCACAAATGGAAGTTATTATCATTATGGTTGAAATGTCTGGCTGGTGCTTAAGGAAAGACTATGCAACTCAGCCACTGGGGCTGTGGGGCATCTCTGTGTGCACACCCCCCAGTCTGAACCTTACACAAAGGCACTTCCCAGCCTGCCCGCTGGCCTCAAGTGGGATCTGTGAGAGAGGCCAGTGGCGGCAGGTGGGGTGGCAGCCAGGGGCGTGGGCACTGGCACCAAAGGGGAAGTGGGGCCGGGCCTGTCTGGGCACAGCAGAGCCTGCCCTCCACAATGACGTGGATTCTGCTCTGGAGAGCATGTGAGCTCCAGTTCCCAGTTTGAAACCGAAACTCAGAAGGGAAAAAAACACACACAAAGAACCCTAGACACACATACAACCAAAACCATAGGATCCTTTCCCAGGGGCTGCAAGGCTGCCCACCTCCCCCCGCACCAGTCCTTCTCTGGGAGGCTGGGAGGGAGGCTGGGTGGCAGCCAAAGCGGAGGGGGCGGCAGGGGCCAGAATGAGGGAAGCCGGTCGATAAGGAAGGAGGTGGCCCCCGGGCCTGACTGGACTGGGGCCTCAGCTTGCGAACAAAACCTGCCTCAGTTTGCAGTCCTCCAAAAGGAGAGCCACAGACAACCACCACAGGGCAAAGCCTGAGCACCTTCCAGGGACAGCCAGGGAGAGCAGCAGAAGAGAGCCTTAGGGTGTCCGGAGCTGTGGGCAGGGCCGGGGGCGGGCTCCCAGGGCCCCGGTCCGGGGTCCTCTCGGCAGGAGTGGCAGTCACCGTTCTCGCCTCACAGGGTCTCCCTTGCCGGGCTGGCGAAGTGACCGAGGCAGCAAGGGCCGCAGAGACTGGGTCCACCAGCTCTGGAGCTGGGTGGAAGCCTGGGAGGGTGGCCACCACGTGCACCTCCACCTCCACCCCCCAAACCGTCCCTGCTGAGGGGGGGTCTCCTGGGCAGAGAGCAAGGCTGCCATGGTCCCTAACCCTAATGCCCCGGAGCCCACGGGGCATGGGAGGCATTGCCCGGCCCCCTGAAAGGCACAGCTTCATCCAGACTTGAGGGAGGAGGAGGCCTGTGGCGCCTCCCTGGCTGGGTGCCCTCAACACGCCAGCCAGTCACAGCTCCCGTCCCAGACTCATCGCCTGCATCTCCTTCTCGGGAGCACCTCTCTGGGCCTCCCGCCACTGAGCCTTTCTCCACTGCTCCTGCTCTCTATGCTGCTTGGCACCTCCGAGCCTCAATTGTCTACCTGCGAAATGTGCGGAATGGGATCTACCTCATGGTGTGGCCGCGAGGGTGAAATGAGAGAAACTTAACCCAGTATCCGGCTCCCGGCGGGTAGGTGGTCAAGTAAATGATAGTCACGATCGTCATCACCATTACGGTCAAATGCCTGGGTTACCTGGGTCACTTCTGACACGTGGCCCTGCGCTTCCCTCTCCTTCCCAACAGTGACCAGTGTCTGGTCTCGGTGGGCAGCCTTGGCCTGACCGCGTGCTCTCCACCCCAGCTCCACCTCGCCTCCAGTGGACCTGCTGGGAGCTCCCTGAGCCAGTGCTTCAGAGGGAAAGACGCAGGGCTGGGGAGGCGGGGTGAGGAGCGAGAGCTGTGCTGGGCACTTACCCTCGCTTGCATTTCTTGTAGACTTTGTAAATGTTCTCTTCAGGGAACCCATACTTCTCAGAGATCTGGAAGAGAAGGGCAGGGGATTCACTGCCTGCTGCCAAAAACTAAATTCACAGCAGTCTTTTACATGATGACTTTTAATTTCCTGATCATAAAATATATACCCAGACTGTAGAAAAATACAATGAAGAAAATGATAATCACCCACAATCCTGTGTCCCGGAGATAAACACTAATAGCATCTGAGTGCATTCCTTCCTGCCATTTGGCCATGTGTATAGGTATTTTTATATCCCACATAGACAGTTTTACTTATCATTGTATATTATAAGCTTTCCCACATCACAACAAACTTGACAAATAGCATGTTTAGTGCTTGTAAACTATCCCAAAGCGTGTCCATCATTTCCCCTCAATCCTTGCCATGGTCAGACATCTGGATTATTCCAGTACTGAGGGCTCCCTATTCCACCAGTGGGCTGACCAGTTGTGCAAACCAATCCTGGAGGTGGAAATAGGCCTAGCTCATAGCGTCACTGAAAGAGTTAAATGAACCAGTCTGCGCACAACACTTAGGACACTCCTCTATGTACTAAATAGATGTCAGAACTTGATAAATGGTCATTATTATTTCAGAAGTGGAGCAATGAGGATGCTCTGGTCTTATTGTGAGGGGTGGGGAGATGACCCACTTACCCTTCCTAGCAGGAATTATTTACCCCACTTGATGGCTGAGGACGCTGAGCTTGGAGAAGATAAGGTGTGTGCCCAAGGCCTAGCCTGGAGCCCAGCTTTCCAGCCCCTATCACATCCCAGCATGCTGGAGCTTAGTCTATCAGAGAGGACACTGCAGTTCAGAGGCCTCAGCAGCCTAGCTGAGCTCACCTAGCCGATTGGCCCATGTGTCCCCAGGCCTCTGACACTTCCTGCGGGGCAGACAGAACTGATCTGGTCCCAGCTCCACCACCTGGGGTTGCAGAATTCTGAACAAGTCGCCCTACTTCACTGAGCCTTAGTTTCCTCCTTTGTAAAATGGGTCATGATGGGAATGTACACACGGGTGATTCTGTATAGGAAATGAGACGGTTAGGTCAAGGGCCCAGTCCAGCACCACCCCTGGGGTGAGTGGGGTCAGATGGCTCTGGTTAGGACTGCTGGCTGCCGTGGAGCCGCCGGGAAGTGCAGGCCACAGGCTCGAGGCTCAGGTCCTCCACTCTGGGCCTTTCCTCTCTTTCCTAAAGAAAAGGAGCCGATTCGGCTCCTTAGCTGGTCTCTGCCCTGACAGAGGTTGCTCCAGGCAAGAAAAGTTCTCAGACTATTTATTGTAGTGGCAATGTGGCTAGATGCTCTCAGAAAGGTCTCGAGTCAGTCTAAGCAAGAATTTAGGAACTTCCCAACTATATATTGTACAGACAACCGCTTTGTCTGGCTGCCCCCCAGGCAATGAGCCCCCCAACCTTGATGCATACAGTCAGGAGTGGGCATCCACTTGGAAAAGTTACTGAGGAGAGAGTTTGCGCATCGGATGGGGAGCTGACTCCTTAAAGTACTGTCCAACCCAAAGATCTGGAGTCTATATTCTAGTGACATTAATGGCCTCTTGTGAGCCCAACTTCCTGGGCCTGGTGCCAAGCCGGGCTGACGCAGTGTGAAGAGACCAGGGTGACACAGCAGAGTGGACAGAGTTCGAGCTGGAGCCCCAGCTCTGCCACTTCTAGTAACCTTGGCACATCACCTGACCTCTGGGAGACTATTTCCTTACGGGAAATGAGGAGATCATTACTAGCACCCACTTTTCAGGGTTGTTAGATCAATGCAGTAAGCTAGCAAATGCAGCATGCCTGACAGGATGCCTGCCACATAGTGGGTCGTCAATAAAAGGTAGCTGTGCTTTTTCATTCATTTTCTTTCCCCATCCTGACATCTTAGAACCACCTAGCTTTTCTGCATGGTTCAACCTGTCAGCACAGCTGGCCCAGGGGAGGCTGTGTTTGCTCAGTTTTTTAGCTGAACCACAGAGCTGCTGTGGGTTTTCTTTAGGGCTATTTCACCCACTCTCTGGCAGTTCGGGGGGTTGGGGAAGGTCTCCTTGCCCAGACACCACCTTCAGCTGCCCCAGCCAGTGCCTCCCTGGCCAACCACAAGCTGGAGAAATGAGGCCCTCTGGGAAAGAAAAAAAAAGAGTATCTTTGGGCCCTGGCCTTTTGGGGTTTCATTCCCATTAAAACAGAAACAGGTTTGCAAAGCCAACAAAAAGCTCTGGCCTGTCAGACAGCAGGCATCAGATTAAGCAGGATTTATGGTGTGTGCGGCTCCCTGGGTGGAGCCAAGGGTCTGGTTGGGAGATAACATCTCAGAGGCACACCTCCCCATACCCCCACTCCACAGCCAGGCCCCACAGGCGCCCTCAGATGGGGCGGGATGGGTGGGCCAGCAGAAAGCTAATGTTCCAGAATATTCCTTCCTGGAATCTTCCTGTGGGAAATCAGAACTGGATGGTGAAGAATGGCGGGGAGATGGGAGTGCAGAGCGGGATGCAGCCAGGGCAGGGCGGGGTCCACTAGGCCTCTTACCGCACTCCTCAGCCCCTTCAGGTCCGGGGTCTTCAACATGAGGGCGTCAAATACCTCCTCAGTCTCCCTCCGCACGTACAGCAGAACTGAGAAGCAAAGGGGTGGCTTTTAGAGGCACAAGGGGACATCTAGGGGGCTAACCCAAGACTAATTTCTGCAAAAAGAGCAAATCCTTGCTGAGGGTCTGTCCCCAGCTGGGAAACACCCCACCTGGCTCTGTAGACCCCCGCACTTCCTCAGACTCTGCTGATCCTGGTGGGTTTGAATCCCTGCCCTGCCACCTGCCAGCTCTGTGACCTTGAAGAAGTTCTTTTAACATCACTAAGCCCCATCTTATCCAGATGGAAAATGGAGGCAGCTCCACCTGCTATTTCAGAGTTGTTGTGGGCAGTATTGATATGACACCAAGTAGGGTGCAAGGCTCAGTTCAAGGTTGCTAGATGCTTTTGATCTTAATTGGTGGTTGGTTTCTTCTTGATGGTTAGCTCCAGTCCCCCTCTCCCAGGAAGTCACAGACTTAACTGTGTCAAAGCCAGAACGCCAGGTAGGGAAAGCCCACCCACTCCTCCCCCTATCAGAGAAAGTGGGGAGACTGCCCAGCAACACAAGCCTATTGCCTTACGGCTGCCCCAGGACACCCACGTCCACCAAGGTCAGAGCAGGCAGAAGCCCTCCAGCTCCATGGCTGTCCGCCCCTCTCTCAAATCCTGGCCCAGCCCCAGCCCCAGCGAGTTAAAGAACCCCTCAGGCCCTCCCCGCTGGGGTGGGTCCCGGCTGCCTGGACCAGGATCAGGTGGAGGCTTTGGGGAGGCCTCATGGGGAGCTGGGGCAGGGGTGGGCGGGAGGCTACCTCTCTGCAGATCATCGTCCTTGGCCTGTTTGGAGGGCAGAGGCTCAAACTCCTCGGCGAAGGGTGAGCAGGGGCGCTTCAGAGACAGCCTGTGGGGAAGGCAGGAAGAGGCCTGTGAGGAACCGGGGAGATCCCAGAGGCTGACGGGCCCAGAGGTAAAGACCCTAAGAGGGTGGGCGCAAAGCAGTGGGACAGAGGTAAAGCAGCAGATTCTGGAGCCGGCCTGCATGGGTTCACGTCCCAGCCCTGCCCCTCCCGAGCTGGGTCCTTGTCTATATGGGGCGCTTCCTAAAGTTGTGTGGTTGAAGGAGATAATGCACGCCGCTTTTAGAACACTGTGTGGCCCACAGTAGGGCCTCGATAAATATGGACTACTGTTTCATCATCAACATTATTCTTCTTTAAAAGAATCAAGTTGGATGTGAGTCAGTGGAAGGAGGGAAGCTTGTGGGTTTTGGAGTAGGTCAGCTGTAGGTCTCAGCCTGCCTCTGCTAACTCACAGCTGTGTGACCTCTGGCAAGTCACTTCACTTCTCTGAGCCTCAGTTTCCTTGTCTATAAAGTGAAGCAATAACCCCTGCTTGCTTGACTCACTGGGGCTGTTGTGAGGTGATAAGTGAATTTGGTGTGAAAGTACTTCCTTTTATACGGAAGAGACTGATACCAACAATACGTGATCTTCATAAAGTGCTTTCCTGTTTACAGAGGTTCTATTCCATGCTGCCTCTCATATCTGCCTCATACTCACGAGCCCATTTTCCTCTGACAGATTTCTAGCTGAAGCTGAAAGTGGTGAAGCGACTGTAGCTGACAGAAGGAAGGACGCAGAGGCCCATCCTGGGCAGAAGGCGAGGGCCTGGCCCCTCCTGGGGCCTCGGAGTCTGCTGGGGCGGGGGGTGAGGGGGGTTGGCGCAGGGTGGTTCCCCCTAAGTCCTCCCACACAGCTGCCCTCCTCACGCTCCAAATCTGCACCACCATCTCGGAGGCTTTTTCTTTCCCATTTTACAAGCAGGTGTCTCGCCAAAGATTCGCCAACTTTTCAAATAAAACAAACCCATAAAAACTCGGGCAGTTTCAGGGAGAAAGGAGCGTGAGTCTAGCTTGGGGGCTGGGGGCAGAGTCTCCCGGTGCCTCCTCTGGGCCCAGCCTCTGGCTTGGGGGGACAGCAAAGGGAAGGGCAGGCTGGGAGCCAACGAGCCGCGGCAGGAGGAGGCGAGGCCCTTGGCTGCTTCTCTCCATACCTGTTGGAGCTGCCGTGTCCCGCTGAGAGCACTACCTGCAAGGAAGAGGGAGACATTTTCCATCACACACACACACAGACACACACGGGAAGACGAGGCGAGCCCTCAGCTGCTGGAGGCTTTCTGGGACAATCTTTGTGGGGGGCTGGGGGGGGGGGGGGGGGGAGGCAGCTCTAATGCCTTTCCAGCTCATTCTCCTCAGATAAGTCCCCTCAAGTGAGCTGAGACCTTGAGTTGAAAGGAAGAACCAAGCCCAAGGTGGATGAGTCAGGACTCCGTGAACACACAAGGTGCTCAAGGGATGGCGGCCGAATCAGTGATGCCAGCTCCCCCGGGGGGCTGGGACTGCAGGCCGGCCTGCAGCTGGTAACTAGGCAGCTGGAGCTGAGGCAACGTGAGCGGAAGGGGAGAGGCAGGTTGTGGAGCCCTCCTGTGCCCCTGGCACAGCCATCACTGGTCCTGCGGGGTAAGACACCCAGGCCCCGAGAGGGCCGTCTCCAGGGCAACCCCCCAGGAGGCAGGACGGGGACTTTCCACTCCGCGGGTCCCCTCTCTCGGGCTCACAGGTACAAGGACCGGTCTCCCACTTCTTCCTCCCACAGGAGAGCTGGCAGCCTGGCGATGGGGGCTTCCATCCCTCAAGTGGGCGTCTCCCTACTTGAGGCCTCTGGTTGGGGTTGGGGGGAGAGTGGGTTAACACAGCCTCCTGTGCTATGGGGGCCACAGAACTACTTCAGGGCAGAGAAGGGGGTGTGGCAGACATAGAGAGGCTTTAAACGTGTGCCAAGGCCGACACCAGGACTGGCTGCTCCATAAGTGATATTGTCCGGAGTCAATGCACTGAATGCCTTTGTGAACTGATGGCCATTTCTGTAAACATGCCCACCTAAATGGGGAGCTCAACAGGTGGAAACGGTCAAATTGCATAATATGGAAGCAAACTAACAGGCAGGCTCTGGGATCTTGATTCTGCCGCTGACTTGTTGTGTGACCTTGTCGGGAAAAATGGGGATAACAGCCTCTACCTCAAAAGATGCCTGTGAGGGAGAAACGAGATGACGCAGCAAAGGGCTGGCCGGTCAAGGTGCTTGGTGAGCGGCTCCCTGTCTTGAGAGGTGGTGTGACCCGTGGTGACGGGCATTGCCTCTGAAGCCAGGTTGCCTGGGCTCCAGTCTAGGCTCTGCCACGGCCTGTGTGATTTTGGTCTCAATGGCTCAATTTCCATCCCGTGAATCCAGGGAGAACGACATTACCGACTTCATAAGGAGGTGATGAGGGTTAAGGAGAGGACTCGTGGAAAGCGCTAAGAGCAGTGCTTGGTATAAAGTGAGCCTCACAAGCATTGCTGAGACGATCATTATCCACCCACCTCCAACACGGCTGCACTCTAACCTGGGGCTCGGACATTAGAAGCCGTCCATGTGTGCTCCAAGAGTGAACATTTCAATGGGTATGAAGTTCATTTCTTCATGAGCACTGTTCAGTAGAAAAGGTCCCTGAACTTATATGACTGTATATACATTTTTTGAGTCCCCTGGGATTCAATAAAGATATTTCCATTTTGGTGATGTCAGGACCTATCAACCTCTAACTCGGCCTGTCCTGCTAAGTGGCAGGTTGCTCCCCGCTGGTCTCTGCTAAGACGGCCCCACCCAGAGGCCCAGACCCTCTCTCAGCCCAAGACCCTCACCCCTCCAGGACGCTGAAGGCTGGAGAAGTGCACGCTGGGGATGAACAGCACTGGCGGGGTCTCCAGGTCCGCCTCAGGCCGCAGGTAGGTGGTCTCATTGCCCCTGAAGCCGGCTAGCAGGGAGCCCTTGATGCCTGATGGGAAAAGGAAGGCATTGTGCCTGGAGGTCCCTCTGTTCATGCCTCTGCCCTCTCGTCTCCTCTCCCCTTCACGCCAACCCAGCCCAGCCCAGGCCCACTGACCACTGTTGCTGGAGTCGGGGCACTTGACCTTCCTCCGGAACTGCTTCCGCTCATCATCCCGCATCTTTCTTTCTGCTCCCTGGGGGAGACAGGGGGCTAGGGGTCACCAGTGGTCTCAAGAGGGCTGGCTGCTTTTCCTCGCAACTATGGGACTTCCGGGGTTGCTTTCTTCCCAGGGTGAGATCAGGAAACGGGAAGGTACCAGCACTCGGCCCGGCCCAGCGCGCCCCAGCCCTGTCTGAGGTCAGTAAAGCCTTGGGAGACAGAGAAACAGAGAGGCAGAGAGGTGTGGGGAGAGAGGAACAGAGACAGACACAGGGAAAAGGGGAAGGAACTCAGAGGGAGGGAAGAAGAAAGGGAAACGTGAAAAAGACGGACACAGAGCAGAAGAAACTTGGAGAGCTTTGTACAGAGACCTAGAAAGAGATGCGTAGAAAGAGGAAGGGCTGAGCAGAGGAGAACACACCCACAGAGAGCCAGACAGACAGATGACAGGCACACAAAGACACAGACGCTCAGGGAGCAAGCAGCAGAGGCAGGTGCACCCAGCGCGGCTGAGGAGGGCGCGCAGGTCAGGCTGGCCCGCCCGCCCAGGGCCCCGCGGAGGGTCGGCCCGGCCACCTTGTCACAGAAGATCTTGATCTGGCAGACAGCGCGGTGCACCAGGCGCTCGGTGCCGGAGCCACAGTCGTAGGTGTCGATCTGCAGGTTCAAGGGGACGCCCTTCACCCCCTTCTGGGAGGAGAAGTCTGTGCTGAGGCAGTTGACACCAACAAACACCTGGGGACAGAGGCGGGAGCTCGCTAAACAGCCGGCCCAGGTCCCCAGGCCTGCGGTCCCACGACCCCCCTGAGGACCATGGAGTCTTCTGGGCACCTGGTGGGCACCCTCAACTTCACAACGCCCCCGGAAGGCAAACCTCACCACCTCTCTTTTCCAGGGAAGACCCACGCTCCGAGAGGGCCGCTGTCCGAGGGCGACAGAGGGAGCATATAAGGGAACCGGAGCTGGAGCCCAGGGTGTCACCAGTGGACAATGCAGCTCCCGCTAGATTGCCAGGGGCAGCCCAAAGGATCAAGGGCCAGGGAGGGAGATTAAGGGTCCTTCAGGAATTTAAAATCCAGAGCCTCATTTTTTTTTTTTTTTGCAACTCAGAGCAAGAAGGTGGAGAAGGGCCCAAATCCCCTCCCCGCCAGCTCCAGAAAATACCTTCCTGCTGGCCCTGCCCAGGGCCACAGAGCATGGCACACGCGCCTGAACCAGTCACCCCCGTTTTCCAGCCCAGGAGACGGAGGCTCTGAGCATGCATGTGGCTCGCTGATGCCTCCACAGGGAGTTGGGCAGGGTGGCAGAGAGGAATGAGCTCGGACGCGGGGCCACTCAGACTCTGCCCCTCAAGCCATGTGACTTTAGATAAGTTCTTGAACCTCATGAAGTTTCTCTATCTGCTAAATGGGGACAATTAAACTTTACTCCTGTGGCTGTGAGGGTGGCAGAATACCTAGGGGGCTTGGATATTTCATAACTGTTGTGAGTGGGACAGATAGGAGTCTCAACCAGAAGCCTGTGTCCAGCTGATGGTAGCTTGGGGTCAGTCTTAGCTGGATGTCTCTTAGCAAGCTCACCTACTGACTGCCTACTGCTGGCTTCTCCATGGGACACCAGGCCAGAACCCACTCCAGGCTGGCCCCTATTCCTTGGGACGCTTCCCTTGGAAACGATCCTGACTTGAACAAGTGGGGGTGGGGTGGTGCTGGAGCAGACCCCCTTCCTTCCCTGGCTGCTGGGGGCCAGGCCCCCAGATGCATGCCAGACATACCTCCCCCTCAGCCAGCTCAGCCCTGATGCCGCCCCCACCCAGCTCACACCTGACAAAGACCCAAGCCTGGGGGCTTAAGAGGCTGTGAGAAAATCCCCACCGAAACCCACCGCTCCCTTCCCACGAAACTCTTCCCCCACTCCCTGAACTGGAGGCCCCAGCTCCTCCCCAGTCCCGGGTGTCTGTTTGAATAATAATAATCCCTTGCCTTTGTGCTTCTCCTTGCTGTTTTCAGAGCCCATTCACCTTGGTTTTCTCCGGGCAGCCTAGACCGCCCCATGAGGGGAGGTGGGGTGGCAGGGAGGCAGGGATGAGCTCCCCGGCTCTCCCAGGTCAAAGAGACTTTGCCACGAGCCTGACCCAAACTTGGTCTGATGCGGTAAGCCTGGCCCAGGCTGGTGAAGGGACAGGCCCAAGGTCACCCAGCCCCTGACCCTCTGACTAGTGCCTGTTCCACGAAACCACCTGTCCAAACAGAAGACCGAGACTCAGAGGGACCCGGCAGCACCGGCGAGTGTGAGGCTGGTCTCAAGCACTACGTGGCTTCATCACTGGTATGAAAAAAATACTGCCAGAGGCTCCATTTCTCAGGCCTCTCCGATGGGCTTGGCGTACAAAGTGCCCGTTGCTCCATCCTGCATGATCTCCTCAGATCTTCACCACAACTCTAGGAGGCAGGTTGCTCTTCGCTTCCTGTGGGCTCCATGAGTGAGGTAGCGGACTTCAGCCTTCATCCATCAGACCCCACAGCACTTCTCCTGCAACGCTCTGCACTGGCTCACATGTCAGGAAACCCAAGCAGCAGCAGCAGCTCACTGTGTGGCTGGCACAACTCAGTTTTCCCATCTGGCAAATGGGTGGATTGGACTAATAACAACAGCCACCACTTCTGCACCAGCTGTGCTCTACCTTTCTCTCATCTCACCTGAGCCTCATGCCAACCTATCCATTCACGCTAAGGTTACACTCCCAATTTTCAGCTAAGGCACTTGTCCAAGGTCACGGAGGTGGGATAAGGGCCCGGCCACTCTAGCTTACAGCCTGTGCTTCTCCTCCACTCCTGTATCCTGCCTCCTCCCTGGTGCCCTCACTGGAGCAGCTACCACCATCCTAGGGACAGGCCCTTTCCTGGGACTTGCTGGCAGCCCAGTCCCGTCCCAGCCATGCCCCCCGCACTGACCTTGGCCTCCTCATGGACATCCCACACAAAGGACAGTGCATTATACGCCACCTCCTCAATGTGCCGGACAGTGTTGAAGTTTTCTTTGCAGTCGGCTGAAACCACAGGAGACCAGAGGAGAGTCAGGAGACAAGGGATGTGGGGGCACCATGGGGAGGGGTCATTAGGGGCTGGACCCTGTTCTTGGCAGGGACTTGGATCCTCTCCCCCAAGAACCATGCTTCAAACTAGGGAGGAAGTTACTCATTGTGCCCTGGGCTACAGATGGAAAAACTGAGGTCCAGTCTGGGAAGGAGATCTGCCCAAATCCCAGAGGGACTCCTTAACTTTGCCAACTAGGCCAGGGCCCACATGATTTTGGGGTGGAGCTTATTCTTTTCAGTGCGACTGTGATTTAGGAGATCTCCTAGGTAAAATGGTAATCGAAGTCACAGTGGTAGTCATAACCATAGTAAAATCAGTATTGAACTTGTAACATTAAATTAATGATAGTACTACTATGCACTTGACTCCTGAGAGTCCCTTGGACTGCAAGGAGATCCAACCAGTCCATCCTAAAGGAGATCAGTCCTGAATATTCATTGGAAGGACTGATGTTGACACTGAAACTCCATTACTTTGGCCACCTGATGGGAAGAACTGACTCATTTGAAAAGACCCTGATGCTAGGAAAGATTGAAGTCAGGAAGAGAAGGGGATGACAGAGGATGAGATGGCTGGATGGCATCACCGACTCGATGGACATGAGTTTGAGTAAACTGTGGGAGTTGGTGATGGACAGGGAGGCCTGGTGTGCTGCAGTCCGTGGGGTCACAAAGAGTCGGACACGACTGAGTGACTGAACTGAACTGAGCTATACACTTAAAATACAGCAAGCCCTCAGTTAATCCTCACAGCAATGCTATGAATATTCAGCTTACACATGAGGAGAACAGAGTTCAGAGAAGTCTGGTCACAGTTGATAAAAGGGAGAAAAAGTTCTGGAGGTCATTTCTCTCTGGCTCCTGAGCCCAGGCTCCTAACCACTGTGCCATCTGGCCTCTCAGAGAAGTCACTGAATCGTCCCTATTTGTCCTGTTCTCTAGCACACATGGTTCCAAGGCAGAAATTGCATGGCAGGCAGATGGGGTGCTGGTATTTTCCCAGGTGACAGTTGAAGAAGCCGAGGCTCAGGAAGGGGAGATGACACAGGTCACACGTCAGGAAGAGACTGACAGAGCCTGGGCCTGGAGATCCGAGGATGGGCTTGCCCTCCCACCCGTCTCAGGGCCAGGACTGGCGGCACACAGAAGGAGGCCTTCCCTGGCTCCCTGCCCACCAACAAAGCACGAAGCTTCCAGCTTCCAAAGCAGAGCTGCCCTGGCACTGTGCTTCCAGCTTCCAACTCACCCGTCGCCCGCACAGTTATCTCATGCATTTGTGTCTCAACTGGCCAAGACCCCTGATGGGGACAGGCCAGCCAGCACCCCAGGGGTCTGTTTATGTGGTACTCCTGGGGCCCCCAGAGCCTTGTTTATCCCAAAGCAACAAAGAAAAGAGGTCACTGCTTCCAGTCAACATGCAAATCCCTGCAAACCCCACAGCTTATGACCTGGAGACAGGGGCCAGGCAGGCGGCTGGAGTCAGAAATAAGCCCTGCGGAGGTCAGGAGGGCGGGGGGAAAGGGGGACAGCAAGAAAGGCCTGCCTGGAGTGTGTGTGTGTGTGTGCGCGCGCGTGTGTGTGTGTGTGTGTGTGCGTGTGTGTGTGTGTGTGCACGCGTGTGCGTGTGAGAGAGAGAGAGAGAGAGAGGTGTGAGACAGAGAGCCAGAGAGAGAGAGACACTGGGGTGGAGGGTGTGGGCGGGCTCTCACCCACGTCGATGACCCGCTGCTTGGCGGTGGGCTGCCGCGAATGCCAGTGCTTCCAGAAGCGCAGCTGCTCAACCGGGCCCTTCTCATTGTCGAAGACCACCATCACCACGCTCTGCAAGCACAGCAGTCACCGTGACCCCCTGCCCCAGGAGAGGCCCGGGCAACCTCCTTTCCCGGAACCGGGGTCAGGCGGCCCTGCCCTTTGGCTGGGCTGCCCCCCTTCCCCGGCAACGGGCAGTCCTCTAACAACACCCTCTCCCTGGAAGCCCCGGCAGGCAGGGCTGACCTGACCACCCCGCCCGCTTCCCAAGCAGTCCCAGGGTGGCCAACGTACCTTGACCTTGCTGGAGGACAAGGCGAGGCCCTTGCCGCCCGCTGGCGTCCGCAGGGTGACAGGGTAGAACTGGCCCTTGTTGAGGTAGGCCATGGGTGACTCGCCTGACTTGACGTGGATGGCTTTGGGGGAGCCCAGGGTATACTCAAAGTCACTGCGGGGAGGCGCAAGAGGACAGTGAGGCTGGGCTCCCAGGCTGGAGTGTCCCAGAGGGCGGTGGGGCGGGAAGCCTGAGGCTCTGCTCTGGATTCACCATGCGGCCTCACCAAATCACTCTACTTCCCAGGGCCTCCATTTCCCCGTTTCCAGGGTTTCTACTTAATGGCTTTGTTGAGGCACAATCCTCCTGAATAACGAATAATGGAAATGAGAGAGCCCTGAGGGGTGACCAAGTTCCAGGGAGACCAGGAAACAATGGAACCTTGATATTCTAACATGGTGCTGAGTTCTGAGCTGCTTGTCGCAACCTGGGAAAGGGATGTAGAAATTACTCTTTCTTTTACATGCCTTCACGTCTCTCTTTTCATTCGGTGATGATGCTTGCTCTGTGGACAGTGTGCAGCTCTGTCTGCAGTCCCCTGCCCACTGCCCAGTGGTCAAGGGTCCAGAGAGGCTAACTTACCTCTTGGGATTGGGATAGTCCTCTGGACCCGGGGGTTCTGGGGATGTTTTCAGGATATCTGGGAAGAGTAGAGACTGCAGAGAAACACAATCCAGGGAAAATAAATGTTCACGTTCAGTTCCACTGGGACCTCAACCCAGGGCCACTACGTACAACTGTAAAGGTTGTACAGTGCACAACCTGGACAAAAGTCCATGGCGACCCTGCCTCAGCTCGAGGACTCTTTCTCCCAGTGATTCCAAAGCTCTGACTGCCTCACCGTCTTCTCTGCTTGCAGGTACCCAGGGATGCTGGAGGGGTGTGGGGGTGGGCCCTCACCTCCTGTGGGTCATCTTTGAAGGTGCTGTCAGGCTGCCAGCGCTGCGTGGGAGGCACCCCGTGAATGCTCTCAAACAAGGAGGTGAGGGAGCCATTATCATACACATCGCTGGTGGGCAGCAGGTAGCTGTCCACGGAGCCGGTTTCCAGCTTGCTGGGGCCTGCGGGAAGGAGAGCTGCCTTGCCTGGCGTGGGTGCAGCCCCCTCCACGCTCATTAGGTTATTCTTCTTGTGCACATCTGGGTATTCTGGGGTTCCAGACACATTCTCTGTCAGGAATTTCATGAGGTGCGTGGGACTTTCAAGGGGGGTGAGGTCCATCTCATATTCCATGCCATGGTAGTACCTGAGGAGAGAGAGGAGGGATAAGTGGGTACACCTCTTTTCTTGGAGCCTAGAGGGGGTCCTTGGCTGGACTGCAGTGTGACCATCTCACTGACATATTTGACCTTCTTTAATCCAAGGTAACGTTAGGTCTTCCCAACGGGCCTGAAATGAGACACTGCAGCGGGCCCGCTGTGTCACAGGGGGAAGCGGGGAGGAACCAGGTACAGGATCAAGGTTCAGGGGGCAAATGCCTGCTTTCTCTGTTACAGTACTTGGTAATTTAAAAACTGAAAGTTTATTCATTCCTCATCCAGGGTCAGATGTCCCCACACTAAAATTACTGTACTGAGTCATTCCTGGTGAGGGCAAGAGTGGGTATTTGTGAGTCACAAATAGTGTACATTGAGAAAAAGGTCTGGAAGGATATACCCCAAACTATTAAGGGAAATAAGAAAGTAGAATTGCAAGAAACTTTCACTTTTTTACTTTGTATTTTTAAGCAAAAATAACAGTGTCTTTAATGCATTTCATTGTACAGAATCCAGAGAATTTTTGCATACAGTCCTCACTTTGTCAAAAGAGCCAGATAAACGATTTTCACACCTGAGCCCGAGAGTCACAGCATCAGAGACACTGAGTGAACACACAGACCTGATCATAAGATGATTCTGTGATCAACGGGTGCCCTCCTGTGACTGTGTCAGTCTTCCATTTCCACCACCATACTTCTGATTCTCAAGCGCCAGCCTCAATATGGGTATTTATTTTATTACTGCATCAAATTTGCTTTTAAAAAGTAAACTAAATTTAAAGAGTTTCAACAGTAGAAAGTTTACCTGTTATAACTACACAAATATTGTTTGCTGGCTGGTCAAATATTTCACTATGGTAAGTTTTCTTAGAACAAACTTTGTTGCTACTGGAGTTATGATATTAACTTGAGCTTCCTCATTCTAGAATTTTCTACTTATTTATTCATAATTTCCCTAAAATTGTCATACACCTATAAACAATTTTCTTCAAATGAACAAATACATTATATAATCTACCAATTCATTCCTCCTTCCTCCCCTTCCTTCCTTTTTTACTTTATATGTTTCTATAGAATTTGAACACTTTATAAAAAGCAGGTATTTTACAATCAGAAAAGCTAACAGCATTTTAAATAATTCGTTTTGAGGAAAATGTACAGAAACCCACTGTTTGTAGCAGTGGAGGGCCCTAAGCCAGCCGCAAGTGCTTCAGTGCCTGCCTTAGCAGTTTGGCCTTTCCAGAAGGATGAGAGAAGGAAACCCAGAAGGTTTCTCAGCAGAAGCCCTGCCTACTGGGGGTAAGGAAAAGTAGAGGTGGGGGGGGGTCAGTATTCTTCCAGCGCCCATCTGGCCATGAGTATGGCCTGGGCTGCTCTCTATAAGAAAAGGAACATCCATGCTCTGAGGCACTAGTGCCAGGCAGAGGCCTAAGAAAGCCAAGGGAAAGAAATATGGGAACATAGGTGTCCCCTCCCCCTGAGGCTGCAGGGAGGGTTTGGAAGCTAGGACAGCAAAGCTTCCAGCAGGGCTTTTCCACTACTGTGGCTTTGAAGTTTGTTTTCAGTAAACTTTAGCCACGTGGCCTGCAGGCACTTGTGTGTGTGTGTGTGTGCACTCAAGCAGGGTCTCACCATGACTCTGTGGGCGCCAGTCTCTTGCAATCATAGGTCCCTTCCTCCATAAAAAATAGTTTTAAAATCCTCATATAAATACAAATACAATCCAGGTTGGATAATATCACTTTCTTCCGATTTTAAGAATAGATAAAATACTTTTGTGGGCCCCTAAGGGTACCTTAGTGGACTTCCTGGTGGCTCAGACGGTAAAGAATCCACCTGCAGTGTGGGAGACCTGGGCTTGATCTCTGGGTTGGGAAGATCCCCTGGAGGAGGGCATGGCAACCCGCTCCAGTATTTCTTGCCTGGAGAATCCCCATGGACAAGAGTGTTGTAGAGCTGGACACAACTGAAGGACTAAGCACAAGGGTACTGTGGACCCTAGTACTGGCACTGTGCCTCCTGTGCCCAGTGGATAAGGGGTGTGAGGTGAGGTGGGGAGGGGGTAGGGAAGGGCAGAGGGGCGGGGATGGTGGTGAGGGTGAGCCTCACCTCTTGCCTTGGTCATTCCGGCCCCCAGTGCTGGAGGACAGTAGCCGCTTCTCCTTGGGGCCCTGAGAAGAAAGGAAGAAAGGGTTTATGTGTGGCTCTTGGGTAAGATCTGTCACGAGCCTCAACTCCCTCCAGGGGACTTGGTCATGCGGGGAGCTACCTTAGTCACTGGGAGGAAAGCTGCCAGTCCTTTGAGTTAGTAGACCATTTAGTCTGAGCCCCAAGTCACAGAGTGAGAAGAAGTGCCCCGAAATTAGCACTTAGGAATCATGGAATTTGGAGTCAGGCACGCCCAGCTTAAGTTCTAACTTTACCACTTAAAAGTGCTGTGTGACTCTGGATAAACGATTGTGCTTTTCTGAGATTCAGCTTCTTCATATGTCAAGTGGGGGATGACAGTCCCTCCCTTAAGTGGGTTGTGAAGATTTATTAATAAAGATAATGCTCACTGTTTTTTAATGGAGTACTTCCTATGCACTGGGCCCTGTGCTAAGTGGCTTCTCTGCGTGCTCCAATTTAATCTCTACAACCTCTCTGTGATGTCTACTAATGTTATCCCCATTACACGCATGAGGAAAACTGAAGTCCAGACAGGCTCTGTCATCTTAGTGATTAGGAGCACAGACTCTGAATCCAGATTTCTTGGGTACAGTTCTTAGATCTGCTACATATTGGCTGTGTGACCTTGGGCAAGGCCCTCAACCTCTCTGCACCTTACTGTCATCATCTTTACGGCAGGAATAATAATAGTAATACCAACCCTTGGGATTGTTGTGAGTGCTTAGACTGGCACCTGGCACATGGAGAACACTATGTAAATGTTACCTCTCATGATTATAATTATAATATTGTTGTATCTTAGAGAATTTGGGTCATTTCTCCCTAAAGCTAACAAAGCCAGAACAAGGTCTCCGACCAAGTCTAGTGATGTCAGCGCCTGGGTTTTTAATCACACTGATGGGAGAGCATGAGGAAAGGTACCTGGCACAGTGTCCGGCATTCAGTAAGAAATGGTAAGTGGTCACCTTTAGGACTATACTGCCTAAAGTCACACGGCCAGCTTGAGGTAGAACAGGTCTCCAACTCCCAACCTGGAGCCCTTTCCACACCGTCAGACCGTGCTCTTGCGATCTGCAGTGCTCCTCTGACCTAATGTGCTCTGGGAAGGGGGAGGGGGACAGGCGCATCTCCCTGGGATGCTGTACCGCAATAAACCATTGCGAGTGTCACCTTCAGGGCCTGGCCCCACCATTCTGGCCCTGGGAATGGACTGCTGCTCAGGGCAGATAGTGCGAGATTTTATTTTATGGCCCAGTCTCAAGCGATATATCCCAGGCTGAAGCTTAAGCTAGACCTAGAATTCTGGCTCCTACCAGGTCCCCAGGCCAAGACAGTCAACTCAGATTTCTTTTCCATCATCAGTCTGCTGGGAGAAGGGAAGAGAGGGTACCATATCACTCCTCGACAAGAACTAAAGGCCAGAGAGATAATTCGGGGTTTCTTTTGTATCTGAGACCACTTCCCCCAACTTGGTCTCTGAATTTGCAGAGTTTGCCTTCCTTCGTGTAGAATAAACTACTTCTTGGGCCAGTGAATTTGAAGGTTTATTTACAAGGTGGCTTTGAATCTTCAAACTTCAGATTCAGTTATCACAACAATCAGCTATTCATGTCCCCAGCCTCCAATCTGGGAAAGTCTCTAGGAGCAATAACCCAGCACAGGGATAGCAAGAAAGTTTGCTGTCATGACAATTCAGACAGATGGGTGGGGGGTGCCTGGAGTTACTAGGCTGAAAAAGATTTTGTGGTCTTCAGTGCGAATACAGGCTGTAATCCATTAGCAGCGTCTGGCAAAGGCAATGGAAGAGGGTGATGTCATGTGTGTTATGTACTTGCGGTCACTAATAGGTTTAAGCACACTTCTCATGTGTGAGAGGCCTAATTTCTGTTCTTAGGAACTGACAGTCTCAAAGTCAAGGCCCCAGAAACAATTGGAGAACAATAAGAGATGGTATGTCAGGAAGTGGTAGAGTGCACAACGGTATGGACGACAGCGAGACACTCAGGAGAGGGAGAGGTGATACGAGGGGGGCTTCCGAGAGAAGCTGGGCCTTGGGAAGGGCCTGAAGGAAACGAATGGACTCAAGAGCAGAAGGCATGTTCTAGGAGCTGGGGCTGCAAATAGGCAGGTGGGGGATGACAGGGCAACTGGGATGACCTAAGGGACAGAAAGAAGATGGTGGGTTAGAGGTCATCGCTGTGGTGTGTGTGGCCAAGGAACCGATCCATTCAACCAGCACTGTGCGGCAGGCAGTGTGGGGTACTGGGGGCTCAGTCATGACCATGACATGGTTCCTGCCCTCCAGGAGCTCAGCGCTACAGGTGAGATGCAGGAATAAATGCACAAACAGCAAGTTTCTGAAGACGGCGTCAAGGAAAATGATGGTACTTGCTGAGGGTGCCCAGAGGAGGCACAGCATGGGAAAGCCCAGAACGCCTTCCCCACCTTCAGGGGATGAATGAGGTAACTTAAAGCTGAGAGTAGGATTTCGCCAGGGGAGAGGGGAGTGTGCCAGGCAGAGGGACCAGCATGTGCAAAGGCCCAGAGGTGTGAAAGAACATGGTGAGGGGTCAGGGGTGGTCAGAGTGGGCTGGAGAGCCATGAAGCCTGAAAGCGAAGATGCATGTTCAATTGCGGGGGGGGCGTGCCCAGAGGCGGCGGACATACGGACATATGATTACTACCTACCATGTAGTAATCATAGAGGAAGCTCAGGGCTGCAACGCTGTCATCGTCCCCGTTGACTCTCATCATGGCCTTTGTGGCCGCCGTCAGGGGGTTTTCAAGGTAGGTCTTCCAGGCCTCATCCTCGTTAGTGTAGGGGAACTTCTGGAAGTTAACTGGGTCATTCTTTAGCAGCCGAACAGATCTGAAACTGAAAAGTAGGTAAGGAAGGTCAAATTTAGGCAGAAGGCATCCTGCCAGCAGAAGGCATCCTCCCAGCAGAAGGCATGTGTACGCTTCCCAGGTGGCTCAGTGGTAAACGATCCACCTGCCAATTCAAGAGACGTGGGATTGACCCCTGAGTGAGGAAGATCCCCTGAAGAAGAAAATGGCAACCCACTCCAGTATTCTTGCCTGGGGAATCCCATGGATGGAGGAATCTGGCGGGCTACAGTCAATGGGATTGCAGAGTCGGACATGACTGAACATACATGTGCAGCAGAAGGTCCGTGAATGGTCAGCCTCAGACCAACATTCAGAAATTCAGAGAGCTACCAGCCTTGAAAACTTGAAATGCTTATTGTGTCAGTATTGGACAGATGGGGCAGTAAAAAGTACCTAAACTCTGGAGCCAAATGCCCTGGGTCACCACCAAATGTTGCCATGGAGAAGCTGTAGGTTTGGGGCCTCAGTTCCCTCAACTACAACAGGAAGACTACAATCCCAACCTTGCAAGGCTTGAGAGAAGATTCAAAAAAATGCTTCCATGGTAAATACTTATTCAAGGGGAATCAGTGTAGCAAGGATGGGAAATAACAATGACAAGGTGCAAAGAATAAGATTTCCAGATGACTCAGCATGGGTTCTGATGACATTCTCCTCAAGACCGTAAAAGACACAGAAGGCTGGAGATCATTTCAACTTAGAGAGAGAATGTGGCAAGTGACAGAGAAAGCTAGAGTAAGGAAGCCCATAGGCAGACAGGGTCTTGGTAAATGGCATTTCAGACCAACATTTATTGCACAGTGCCCAAGCAGCTGCTCAGATGCCAGGAACTGGAGTGGAATGCTGCAGACAGAACCTGGGCAGTTCACTGAGAATGCAGACAAATACAAGCCACATGGCCTCAAAGGCAAGTGATCAAGACAGACTCTTTGGAGGACATTCAACACGGGTAATTATATCACTTATGTAATATGTGGGGCGAGGGTCCCAGGAATATAGAATATATGTATGTTCTATATATTTATTCACATACATATATATTCACATATATATTATATATACATTCACATAATACAGAATAATGGTAATGATGAGAAAAATAATGTATAATCTTTACTGAACACTGACCACATTTTAGGAGCTGAGATAAGCACTTTTTAAGGATTATCTCATTTAATTCTCACAACAACCCTGTGAGGCAGGTACTATTATTGTTCCTATTTTATATATGAAGAAACTGAAGCTCAGAGAAATTAAGGGAGTTGCCCAAGGTCCCAGTTAGTGGGTTAGTGAGAGGCCCAGAGGGGATTTAAGCTCAAGCAGGATGGTGCTGTAACACAGAATAGGGTTCTCAAACTTTCGCTGCATCAGAATGGCACGGAAGGCCTGTTAAAACACAGATTTCCAGGCCCCACCCCAGGTTCCCTGGTAATGCTGATGCTGGTAGTCTGGGGACCACACGTTGTGAATCATTCGTGTAGAACATGCTCTTAATCATGAGCAAGGGCACAGATGTGAGGAAGTTCTGGTTATGTTCACTTTAGAGCAAAGAATGTGGGGGGATAGCGGTAGGTGAGAAACAGCAGACAGCCAGGATGGGAAAAGAGAGTCCCAGATACGAAGTGGGCACAGACTGGTCTGCTGGTGCCCTGATGCCCCCTTGCTAGGTGAGTCTCACAGATTCTCCCGTTAAGGGACACAGGAGTAACGTCAGCTACCGTTCACTGTGCTATTATTGTATGTTTTCCACTAATCAGCTCTGCTCCTTATAAGAACACTAGAAGCAAGGATCATTTGCTTTATTTTACAGATGGAGAAACCTGAGACTTGAAGAAATGCCCCTCAGATTACCCAACTAGCCCATGACACAACCAGGACTGTCAAGTACCCAAGCCACATACTTTCCACTAAGCCACACTGCTTTCCCGCAGTGCAAGAGGGCAATCCTTGCCACAACAGGAAGAGGCTCAGTTATGGAACTGCAGGCACTGCAGCAGACTGGTGGGTGGGCGAGGGCCGTCACAAACCGAATCACACCGCAGGGAGTGCCCTCACGCTGCCCCGCAGCTCAAGCCTGCACTCAGACACAGAGCGGGGACAGCAGCTGGGCCCACACGCAGACAGGCGGGGGTGGCTCTCTCCCGGGGCTTCTTCCAGGGCAGTGTCTCCCATCCCCCTGAGCCCCGGGGTGTGGGGTATTAGGCTCTGAAAGGGAGGGAGAGGGAGCTGTCACACAGGAAAGAGAAATGACAGAAACCTTCTTGCTCCAGGGGCATGGAGAGGGAGGCACACCCCAAGTTTCTGCTGCGATAAATCATGGGCCTTAAGATGGAGGGGTGAGAAAAGGCCCCTCCCAGCTGCCTCCTGGGCCTGGGGTTAGAGGAACTTACGGAGCAAGACCAGGTGGCTGCCCCCAAACCCCTCCCAGCCTCAGCCTAAATGGAACTCCCAAACCAAGGGGGCAGAGAAGGAACAGGGAAAGGCCTGGTGGACCCCACTCTCTGGGTCAACTGGGAACCCCAGCACTTAGCACTGTTCCTTGTTTACAAAAATGAGTCAAATAAAAGCACCTGCCATATAGGACAATGAGGACTGAGTGACCCCGTCACAGGAAGAATGCTCACAACTGGAACATAAGAAGTGCTTAATACAAAAAAAATGATGCTTTCATGCCACAGAAAGGGTATACGTTACAGAAAGCTCATTCCAGAATGTCAAAAATCTTGAGTCTATGGAACCTTAGGCTATAGGTTTGGTCTTCAGGTGTTGAAATAATTTCTCATTTATAATTTCCAATAAAGGAGCAATGTGCAAAAAAATAATCGTGCTCTCAGCCCAGCTTGGAGCTAGACACATTGAGTGCTTGCAAAGTGGTACAAGACGTGGTCACCCTGTAAGTCGTTGGCAGATGTGGAAGTGAAGAAGTGAAAGTCGCCCAGCTGTGTCTGACTCTTTGCGACCCCGTGGACTGCAGCTGCCAGGCTCCTCTGTCCATGGGATTCTCCAGGCCAAAATACTGAAGTGGTAGCCATTCCTAGGACTAATTTGCTGACTCTGGTGGAATGACCATTATCAGCTTTAATGAGCTATCAGTTATCTTACCCTATTCAAAAGTTAAATTTTAGAAGACAATGATAAAGTGCATCAGAAATGAAAAGACAATGTTTGCTGTTCATCCAGGAGGATTTTCTGGCCTGTGAGGGTCTCTAATCCATCCTGTGGAGACCCCAAAGTCTGATTCCTTGATACACACTAGCTACCCGACCTCAAGCATTTACCAGCATTTACACCACTCCCACAGCTATTTTTCTGCATTGTCTTATCTACTCTGCACAACAGGTTTTGGGGAAGTTGAGACTCAGGTGATATTACCTCCAAGTCACTCAGCTAGTAAGTGGCAGAGGCACAACCTGAACCTGGACTTGTTGGACTCCAAGATGTAGCTCTTAACCCCATGCTAGTCTCCTTTCAAATGCTTTTCTTATTCTGGCCGTTCCCCTCCTCCGGAATACAGTGAACCAATCCTCCACTGCTAGGCAGAAAAGGGTTTCCCACCCACACAAGGCAAGAGGGCCTAAGTGAAGAAGTGAGATGACTGGAAGTTTCTGGCCAGGCGCTGGGGGAAGTGTCGGGGGGGGGGGGGGGGGGGGCGGGGCTCCAGAGTTCTGGTTCCCAAGCCTGTTCATGCTATACCAATCAATGTCATGTTCCAAGTCAAAGTATTTGGCTTTTAAAAAGACTTGGCTATGGATAAGGTTAATTAGCATTGATTCATGTGCCAAATACTGAAATCTAAAAACGTTTGGCTCCCTGTTCTCCTAAAGATTAGAATAGAGGGCTGAGGGCCCTGTGGGGAACAGACATGAAAGGGTTCCAGGAAGGTGTGAGCCCTCCTAGTGGGAGACAGAGCCAGAACAAAGAGGGGAGACCAGTCACCTTCCCCGAGGCCCTCTGCAAACTCTCGGTTGGCGTCCCTGTCCAAAGCAGAGCTCCTCAACAAACAGAAGGTGAAAGGGGGATGGTGGAGGAGGCTGAAGGGAGAGGACATGACTCTGGGCAGCCTTCCTGCCATCAGATCTTCACCAGGGTGCAGCACAGAAGGGTCCGTAGTATGGTGGGAGGAAGTATTATAACATCAGGGGCATAGCCTGACAGAACCAAGTAACTGTGTGTCCTTGGGTAAGGCACTGAGCCTCTCTGGGCTTATTTTCTCATCTGTTAAATGGGTCTGTTGAGTGTCTTCTGCGCGCTAACCAGGGGCTCTTCTAGGCACTGGGGAATCAGCCAAAAGCATGGCAGATAAGGCTCTGCTCCCATGGAACTTGCAATCTAATTGGGGAAAGACAGACCATAAACAAGTAGGTAAATGAGTTAATTTTGGTTAGTGATAAGTGCTGTGAAGAAAATTAGAACACAGTTATGTGATGGAGTCACCAGGGCTGGCTACTTTAGAGTGGGGATAATCTCTGGGTTGTTAGGAAAATTAAGTGTATTAACATGAGAAATGTGCTAAGCCTAGAGCCTGCCAGAGAATAATCGCTTAGTAAATAACAGCCATCATCACCATCATCATCATGACCATCATTTTCTTAGAACCCCCAAATGAGAGTAAAGGGGACACACTGCCTGAGGTTCTTAAATTAACATCCTCTCCCAGCATCCTGTCTGTGAACAGGTTCCATGTCAAAAACAAAAGAGACAGTGTAATAACCCCTTGTCTTGACTTTCACATTCATTATCTCATGGAGCCTCCCAACGTACATGATGTGCTATTATCTCTACTTTATAGACCAGAAAACAGACAACAGAGACGTTAGGTGACCTGTTCCAGGGGACTGGCCCAGTGAGTTACAAAGCCAGCCTCCTGGAATCTAATTCCATGACTAGTTGCTTTTCCACCAACCACTAGTTTCTAAGAAGGGATGCAAAAGAGAGGGAAAAAACAATAAAGCTGGGTGGCATCCATCCACCTAAACATCTATGCCTCATTTTAATAAATACTTGTCAATATTTATTGTACTACGTGCCAGGCTTTGTCCTGGGCGGGCGAGACAATAAGATCTCTATTGTCACAGAGGTTGCAGTTTAGTGGCAGGCAAGACAAACACGACCACAAAAACAAATGGACAGCTACTATCAGGTGAAGAAAGCTATGAAGGGAAAGAAGCCAGAGGACTTCTGACCTGCTTCAACTTTGGGGAATAACTAGATGCTGGTTGAAAAGAGGAGTGGAGGGGAAGAAGAAATGTGGAGATAGGTGTGAGAGGATTTTTGACCTTCCAGATCAAAGGCAAGATCAAAGGCATAAGCCTGGGACAGCTCCCAGAGATTGTCCGCCTACTGTGTGCCAGGTGTGAGCCAGGGTTTTTGCATATGTTGCCTTGTTTCAAGGAAGGCCAGTCCACTGAGGAGGAAACTCAAGTGTGAGATTTGACAATCCCTCATATTTGCATAGTGTGTTATATTTTTCAACATGCTTCTCATACATTTGTCATCATCTCTGATCCTGCAATGCTCCTATAAGGTAGGGAGGGAGAGTATGACTATCCCCATTGATAACAGGAAAAAATGAGCCACAGAGAAGGCCACTGGCTTGCCTAAGTCTACTTAGCTGGAATCTCATGGCGCCAGGCCTAGAACAGAGGGTTCTGTCTTCTAGCATCAAGAACCTTGACAAGGCTGTCTCCTCAGACACCTAGAGGGGTTAAGTGCCTACAGTGGTTAAGTATAGTTTCATCCCAAGTCCTTTCAGATTCTGAACACCCACAGCTTTCTGGCCAAGCCACTTAAGAATCCAAATGGGACTAAGTAAATGTAAAGCTACTAGTTGAGAGGTTTTTTTTTGGTGTTCTAGTTAGTGTGCAAAGAGACTTTAGAAATATAGCCTCTCTTTTTTAGTTTCTGTTGTTGTTGTCTGCTTTGGCCACACCACCCAGCTTGTGGGATCTTAGTTCCCTGACTAGGGATGGAACCTAGGTGCTGAGCAGTGAAAGCACAGACTCGTAACCACTGGACTGCCAAGGAAGTCCCTAGAAATCTAATCTTCAGCAGCAACTGTGACTTGCCTAAGGACACACAGCACAGAGTAGGGCTGGGATTCAAGTCTCTTAGCTTCCTGTCCAGTACTCAGCTCAATCGCTACCTTATCTCAAAGGCATTCCTATAATTCAGAGATGGAAAAGTAAGGCCTCTGACTTAATTTTACAGAAGGGGGAAGAAAACTCACCACCAAGGGGGCAGCCTCAAGCCCCACTAGAGGAGATCCCCGAAACAGGACCAATCCAAGCATCTGGGCCCCACTTCATCCAGCCTGAGGAGGAAGAGTTCCAGGGGCTGCCTGAGCTGGGTGTTGACACCCAGATACACCCAATGACTTGTCAAACCCTGCTGTAAGCCACACAGCTCATCCGCAGTGATCAATCACACTCACTAATTACCCACGGGGAGGCCCTGCCACAACTGCTCACGGAGGAATCATTTTTCAGTCATCCCCATGGAAGGTGTTCCCTGGGCATGACAGACCGCTCCAGGGTTGTTGTGCTTGCAAGTGGCCCATCTGGTTTCTGGGTGCACAGGTTGTGAAATGTGCCTTGTCACCTGCTGGGGGCTCACCTGGGGCCTCAATGGGGAAATGGCAGCGCTTAGGGAATGGTTCTACAATGACCCCAGTTTGAATGAGGAGGTTAGCAAGAATTGGGAACTTCTGAGGGCAGGGACAACATGGTATTTACCTTTGTAAATAATTATAGAGTGGGCCTCAGAGCTAGGCAGAGCTGGTTCCAGTTTCAGCTCGGCTATGACTATGTGACTTTACACTTGACCTCTCCACGCCTCAACTTTCTTACCAGTGAAAAATGGGAGAAGATGAGAGCAATAACATCAGAGTTACTGTGATAGCTATTATTCATTGAGGGCTTATCAAGGGCCAGATGCTGGCCCAACAATTTCAAGTCATTTATTGGTTTATTCTTTACACCTTTGTGAGCTATTACTGTTGGAAAATACAAAGGGATAATGAAGGCAAAGTAATCAGCATAGTGCCAGCACATAATAACATGAATTATTCTTACTAATACTCACTTTGTGGGGTAGCCCCCAGAAAACTGCAGGACAACTCACAGCCTCACTTTCTCCTTCTACTATTGACAGAAGGAGACCAGAGATTCTCAGATAAAGGGCTGCAAGCATCACCAGCTTCATCATCTGGATCCAGGTGGGCAAGTTAGAGAGCCATCAGGCTCCAGCCAACACTTTTAGCTGCATGTATATTAATTATGTGCCATTTTCTAATTATACCAGAAACTCACTTTCTCCCCTTTGAAAATTCTTCCCTCGATGGGAATTTTTTTTTTTTCATGCTATATTCTCCTCTTGGTTTCCAGTCCAATTTTCCTAATTCTTTTCTGTTATTCAGTTGAGATGTGAAAGAAGTGCACTCCACCTAGAGACCCAAGGTGCCACATCCCTTCATTCATTCATTCACCCTGTTGAACAGGCCTGGTACTGGGACACAAAGGTAAATACCACACTGCTCCAGCCCTCAACAGTTCCCCATTCTTGCAAACCTCCTAGGAAGGCCCAGTGAAATAACATCAAATATTGGTGAGAGCCTTTCCCTTCAAGACTTTCACTAGATCAGTTGCTCTGAACTTTTTAAAGAAGCAAAAGGAATGGGGTTGGGGATGTGGGGTGGGGGGTGGGTAGTCAGCCAGGATCATTTGTTCCATTTTATTAATGGAACAAAGTTTCCCTTGTAGCTCAATTGGTAAAGAATCTGCCTGCAATGCAAGAGACCCAGGTTTGATTCCGGGGTAGGGATGATCCCCTGAAGAAGAAAATGGCAACCCATGCCAGTATTCTTGCCTGGAGAATCCATGGACAGAGGAGCCTGGCAGGCTATAGTCCACGGGGTACCAAGAATTGGACACAATTTAGCAACTAAACCACCACCACCACAAATGCAAAAACTTGAGTTTCTGACAAGGGGAGGACAGCAACTAAGTTATTTTATAAGTCAGGCCTTGTGCTTCTTCATTCTCATCCATGCCCTGTGAGGTGCATGGTTACATATGCAGAAACACTGACAGAGGTTAAAGAGCCCGTCCATAATTTACCCACTCTGTACCTGGCAGGAAAAGTGAAAGGAAAGTGAAGTCGCTCAGTCGTGTCCGACTCTTGGCAACCCCATGGACTGTAGCCTGCTAGGCTCCTCCATCCATGGGATTCTCCAGGCAAGAATACTGGAGGTGGTTGCCATTTCCTTCTCCAGGGGATCTTCCCAACACAGGGATCAAACCCAGGTCTCCCGCACTGCAGGCAGACTCTTCACTGTCTGAGCCACCAGTGGCTCCTACCTGGCAGAGCTGGGCTCAAACACAGGTGTGACTCCAGGGCAAAGCTCTCAGCCTGCTGACCCAGCAACTACACTGCAGGTCAGCGTGCAATTGGGAAGCTCCTGCTTTCCCATCCTCTGCCAGGTCTTCTAGGCCAGTGGTTCTTAAACTTGATCATGCATCAGAATCACCTGGAGGGCCTGTTAAAACACATATTGCTGAACCCCACCCCCAGAGGTTTTGATTCAGTAGCTCTAGGGTGGGGCTGAGAATCTGCATTTCTATGGAGTTCCCAGGTGATGATGCTGATGACGCTGGTCCAAGGACCACACTTTGAGCATACCTTTTTTTTTAATTTTTAAGGTGAACCAATAATTCTTTTAAAAAATTATGACTCCTCCCTCTCCTGATTTCAAAAGTGACACAGGGTCACTTTGTAAAACACAATATATAAAAATGGAATATACAGAAAAATTGGAAGCAGAGACTAGAATTCACCTGCATTCCTCTGCTCAGAGATAAGCACAGTCAACAGTCTGGCAGTATCTCATCAGTTTTCAACATCCGTGCTGGTGGGAAGCAGGGTGACACATTGGTGCGGAGCATCCTTTTGGCCCCTTATAAGATCCCAGCTCTTCAGCGAGATCTTGGGGAGCCTGGGACAGGCTGAGATCCCCTCACTTGCAAAACTATTTATACTCCCATCCTTCACTGAAGTGATGGGAGGGTTACAGGAGATGATGTCTTTATCAAATACCAGACCCTGTGCCCACTGTGAAGTCAGAGCTCAAATAAAGACTTGACTGTTATTTTTGTTTTAACCGAAGGGTGCTTCGGATACACTATTTGCGATTTCAGCCCTGAGACTCTTCCTTCCCGTCGTCCTCCGTGTGGACCCCTGAAGACCCTCTAGGCTCCAGGCACCGACCGGGGGCTCCTACTAGGAGAGGGCAGCAGACCGAGTGGCAGGCGCCGCCGCCCTTAGGGTCGTCACAGGGGCCTCTCCGCCCAGTCTGCCTGTTTTACAGCCCGGTCTTAACGAGGGTTTTTAACTTTTCATTCACCAGCAGCGTAGCCCTGACTTTTAATAACACGACAAAAATTTGCTCCTGGCAATCATGGTTTCGACCACAAAACCACAGCGGGAGGCGTTCCTGGTTAACTCTTTCAGTGCTGCAGGCAGTCTGGAGCCCAAGCGCTCTCTCGGAGCTTGGGTGGAGTGGCGGCGAGGCCTGAGGTCACAGACCGGGATGGGATGGGTCGAGTCCCCCTCCCACCCTCCCTTGAGGCTCTCCAAGCTTCGGGGAGGAAGATGGTTTCAGATTCTGACAGCTTCGGGAAAGAAGATGGTTTCAGACGGGGCGGGAGAGGGGGGGCAGAGTGCAGCTCGAGGGGAATCCTGGTGTGCCTCCCTCATTTCCCTCTCTTTCCTTCATTCCACAGACCTACTGCGTGCTGAATACTTAATCTCCACACCCTTCCTTTCCTCAACGGACGGGACGGGACGGGACAGCACTGGCCAACCAGGTGCCCAATACACCCTCGCACCCAACAAAGATGCTTCTCCAAACATGGCAGCCTGACTGCGACCCGTATAGCTCTCTCGTGGAGCTGTTTCCCGCGAGATGAGGGCGTCTGGCAGCGACTTCCGGCGCCGCCCCAGGATCCCTTGCGACCGGCTCCAGCCCCCGAGGCGCTGGGTAGGAACCACGGACTGGAGGCACCAGCGGTTTGTGGAGGGTTGGAGGCTGGCACATGCGCCCAGCTCCAACCACATGAAAAGTCCCGTGCGCCCCACCTGCCAGCTGCCTTGAGCTGGCTTTTAACTCCACCGCTTGGCCTCCATGCCCGCCAAAAGCCGGCTTTCGAAGTGGCCTACTAATTGGGCTCTCACATTTACGGAGCTCCTCCACTGGATCGGGTGGCCCACCTACGGGTGCCCACTGTTTTCCTGACCAGGTAGGTGTCTGTATCCTTACTGGAGAGAGAAGGAAACTGAGGGTCAGGGAAGAGAAGCAAATTCACTAGGATCCTGAAGTTGCTAATTGGCAGAATTTAGACTCTTGTGCAAGTCGGGCTTTTCCCACTACACCAGGGCCTGGCAAGAGGTGGTCATTCCTTCGGGATCAAGATGGATGCGAGGACCAGCTCTCTTTAATTGCACTTCTGGGGGCACGGCAGCAGCAATGCAAGTGTCCCCGGCACAAGCAGCTCAAAACTTGCAAGCCAAGCAGTGGATTCCGCTCCCAACCCCCCTTTATCTGTAAAGGCACTTGAGCCCCCAGGCACTGAGACTGTCATTGTAATCTTTAGTGATGACTTCAGACTCTGCCTGCAATTACTCAGCAGGCACAGGTTCCCCTCACCCCACCCCAACGCAACTCTGACTTCAGACTCAAATCATTGAGGAGGAGAAAGGCAGGAAACCTTTTTGTTCAAGTAGCCCAGCTTCAAGACAGTTAGCCCCAAGGGACACCAATGAACATATTTCTGTCTGCAGTCTCTGCTGTGCTAACCAGCAGAGCTAAGTGGGATGGGACACATCAAATGTTTTTTGTTTTCAAAGTATAGAATAATAGAAAGCAAGACAGAGTATTGAAAGAATAAATATTAGAGATATTAAATTAGAATTATTAAAAATATTAGAAATAATAACAGAAAGCAAGAAGTGCTCATTGATTGGTTATTTTTGAATGAAGTAACAAAGGTATTTCAGATTGCTCCTTAACCAGGATTTCTAAAGTTATTGGATACCCCAACAGCTCCATTAAGTGAGTACCAATATGACCACAATTTACAGGTGAGGAAACTGACCCTCAGGTGAAGTGGCTTGGCCAAAGTCACACAGCTAGTTAGTGGCAGAGCTGGAACTTGAACACTGACCTGCTCTTATTCCAGTTGTTAATACGTTAGCAACCCCAAGAAGCCCATTCTAGAGAAATCTGATGGCCAGTGATTCTACCATGGACATAGATAGCTAACCCAGGAGAATCCAAGAGCTGACTGGTATCATGGAATCTTGTCTGCAGTCAGGTCCCACCACATGCTCTGCTGTTAGGTCTTCAAGTTCTTAAAATAATCTATTAATGAGTAGCTAGAAAAAAAAAAAAGATTGTTCAATCCTTGACTCTGCCCTCTTACCTCTGAGGGTGGAAGGAAAAGGATAGTCTCTGTTTTAGGAGCCTGGTTTCTGCCAGCCCCTAAACTCAGGTTACAGCAGCCCAGAATCCCAGCCTCATCCCATCTTGTCTGAGGTCTGGACCCCAAGCTGGGAGTCCATGGTAAAAGTGTCAGCTAGCAGGGATTCTAAATCCCAGCTGTGGGCAAGAAGTCACCTGCGTCCTGTCAGGCAACAGAGATGACCTCACTGAAAACCACAGGTCAGCCTCCTCAGCCTTAGAACAGCCTCTGAATAAAGTCAACCACGTTTTATTGAATGCATCTTCAGACCTTGGCTCTGTGCTAAGCATTTTACAGAATTTATCACACTCAACTCTCAATAATCCTACAGAACATTCTTGTACCCATTTTCTAGATGAGGAAAATGAAGCTCAGATCAATTCAATGACTTGTCCAAATCAAGATCACACAGTGCACCAGGAGCTGAGCCTGGGTTTGAACATAGGACAAACTGACTAAAGAGTGCGTATGTTTAACTAGCACACTTAACTTTCCCACTTGGGACTGTTCCAACAAGCAAGTCCCTTTAGAGAAACCCAACTCTCTGCCTAAGACAATTCTTACAACCATCTCAAAAAACTTCTTTAGGGCAAGAAAATGGAAAGCCTAGATGGGATTGGCCGCTGTCTCTAACTTCCAAGGCTCCTTCGATGTATCAGAAAGTGGTGCTGAAAGCCTTCACAGTTTCAGTCCTGTGTTTCCCTACCTGTCTCGAAACTGCTCAGCAGAGAGAGAAAAGAGAGAGAAAAAAAAAGATTTTCCCAGGGAAACACTCAGCTCTCGCTTGAGACGGGGCCTGCCTCAACACGCCACAGTGAGATCGTCAGCCCATTCATTTACCCTTACAAATTGCTCTGTGAATCTTGGCGCCGGTCTCCCTGCCCTTTCCCCTTCTGGAAACCCCATACAGTCTCCCCGCTCGGAGAGCGCCAGGCATCCACGGTTGTTTACTCACTCAAGTTCATTCGACATCTTCCTGCTCCCAGGCTCCCAGGCTGGAACGATGGATCGGCACCCGGCACCGAGGCTCTGCTGACCGCTCGTCTCTAATTCTCGCCTGACACAGACATTCCCTGCCCAGGGAACTGTTTGATTTATGTTGAGGTTTCAGTGTGGGGATTCTGCTGACAGGTAGGTTCCCGGCAGCGCTGGCGCTGATTGGCTGCAGGTACAGGTGCCGGCGACAGCAGGTATACCTCAACAGGTGCAGCTGTTAACTCTTGGCCTGCCGAGTTGGGGGCGGAGCCATGGGGGGTGCTGGCTGGGTGGAACTGGCCAATTCCTTCCTTGCTGAGGAGGTGGGGGTGGAGATGAGGGAGGAGGAAAAAAAAAATGCTGGAGAGAAGATAGCCAGAGGAAAAATACAGGGACAAACAGATACTTGGCTGCAGAAAATCTTGATTCCTGTTTCTAGTATCCTGGATACTTGGAATATTGGAACAGCCTTCCCCCCGCCCCTCCCCACCACCACCCTGCCAAATCCCCTTGGCCTCCTCCCCTAACTGGCATTGGCTTCTTCACAGCCACCAGGGAATTCCCAAAGGAGAGAGCAGATCTTCCCCTGTGGGCCTCTATGCAAGTCCCCTTTCTTTTTTCCTAGAGCTCTCCCTTTAAGGGGACGCTTATTTCTGAATAGTCTTTTACAGTTATTCAGCAACCCACTGTGGTAGCTATTAGCACGCTCTCTTCCTCCCCCAACACACACACACTTCACAGGTGAGGAAATGGAAGCCCGAAGGTAAACGTGACTTGCCCAAGGGCATGAGCTAGTGAGTGTCAGAGCCCAGATCTGAATCTTCAGTCATCTCACTCCGCATGTGGCTGTCCCTTTGAGCTGAAGTCACTGGCCTCGATTCAGCAGACATGTATGGAACACCTAATGTGTGCCAGGCCCTCCTTTGGGTTCTGGGGAGACAGGCCAAAAGACAGGGTCACTGCTCTTGGAGTTTATCATCTGGGGGGGATGTGTGTGTGTTGGTGGCCGGGAGTGGGGGTGTAGGATGCAGGCAGCCTTTTATTTGGTGTGATACAGATCTGAATGAGATGTCAGCAAACCACATACCTCTGGCCAGCACACAAGGGATGGAAAAGTTGAAGTCGGTCACCTTCGAAACCTTAGCTAGCCAGTCATTTCCCAAACTCCAGTAAGTGCTTCATTCTGCATTGGAAACGCAGGAGAAATCTGTTGCCTGTTAGATGAAGTAATTGTGGAATGATTGCCATGAGCTTTCTTCCGTAAAGAACAAGGTTGGTAAACCCAGAAGATCCACAAACAAACATGACAATGCTAGGACTTTTTATAGAGCTTCCACCACGAATCTGAACTGAAGTCTCAGCCAGTCTTGGTATCTTTTGTTTTCCTCTCTCTTTCTTTCTTTTCTCCTCCCCACCTCCCCCCCACATACCTTTTGACACATCATTCCTTTGCTCTGTCTTCCTGAGAGCCTCATCTTGGCCCACTCCTTTCTCTCTCAGGGAAAGGCAGGGGTTTCAGCTACTCCTGCCAGTCTGATGGAGGTTTTCAAGGTAAGGCCAGAATCCAGAGGAGCCCTCTTGAGGTGTGGTCAGGCCTGTGGAGAGAGGATACTGGGTTTGAGAATTGTCAGAGGTTGGTTCCTCGCTGGAAGCTATGTTGGGGATAATGGAGGGGGTCCTGACAAATAACAGTAAATAGTCATAATAATTGCTAATGAAGCCACCTCCCCAGAGCAGGCCTCTCCGGCCACCCTTGTTAAAGCAGACATTCAGTCACTGTATCACATCACTTAATTCTGGCTCTCTGAATCCCTTGTGACTTTCGGACATCTCTAAATTGTTTACTATCTTTTGCCCCTTCTTCTAGAATGTAAACTCTGTAGGAGGAGAGACCTTGTCTGGGTCACTGTTGAATCTCCAGCGCCTTCCACTGTGTCTGGCACACGGTAGGTGCCCAGCGTACCTCACACGTCAGGCGTTGTGCTAAGCCTTTGCGTACCTTGTCTCATCCTTAAAACCGCTGTATGCCACAGGCCCTTGTATTATCCCTGTTTTAGAGATGAGGAGAGGGAGGTATGAAGTGATTAAATAAGTTCTTCAAGCCGCATGGCCTAGGAGTGGTAGCGCTAGAGTTGGGATCTGATCAGAGAGCAGAGCCTGGATGCCCAAGCCCTTGGCAGGGGTTATTGGTGGCAGGAGGGCTATTTGGTGCCAGTTGTAACTGCAAAGCTTAGTACCGCCCGAAGGATGGCACACTTGTCTGTGTCCCTGTCTGCCCGCCTCCTGGAAGGCTGTGAGGTTTCTTTCAGCTGTGTTGCAACTCACAGGTAAAGGGCCATGGGGGTGACTCACGCTGGCTGGGCGCAGGTGGAGACTGGGAACCCAGGCAGCGTGTCTGTGCTCGCTGGGCTTTTAAAATGGGTCTTCTCTCTCTACACCTCTGGACCGTGCCTCTTTAATCACCCTCACCCATCTACGGAGATCAGCAGGTCGTGGGGCAGAGGGTTTTTAACGTCTCCACACATGGAATGCTCCAGAAGGCACGCTGGATGAGATGGAGGGACTTGTGGTCCAGGGGAGGTCGGCAGGGTACGATGAGCCAGTTTATAAGGTCTCTAGGACCCTCCAGCAGGGGCTAAGCCTCCCAGTATGGGGGCGTGGGCTGTTCTAGGCCTTCGCTGAAGGATTCAGAGATGCCAAGTTTTTTAGAGACACTACCCAAGCTTTGCCCCCACTCCTACCCCTTCCCTACTCCTGTGTGGCATGGGCACGGCCCAGGGCTCAGCTGGGCTGGCATCTCTTCCCCTTCTTGGATTGGCCCAGTTCTTGGTCTCTTGGCAGAGGAGATTGAAAACAGAGACTCACCAATCATATGTGACACAATGATTGTATTCACAATAATAACAGTAAGTAATGATGACTGCGATTTATTTCATGTTTGTATATTGCAAGCATAGTGCTGAGAGTTATCTGTGCTATCTGACAGTATTACTCTGAGACTGGAGGACCTGGGTTCAGATCCCAGCCCCACCATTTACTAGCTGTGTGATTTTGGGCAAATGACTTAAACGTTCTGAGCTTGTTTCCTCACCTATAAATGGTTATAAAAACAGTATCCCCTTCGTGAGGTTATTATGAGAATTAAATAGGATAATGTATATGAAGTGCATTGTTGTTGTTTAGTCATTCAGTAGAGTCCGACTCTTTGCAACCCCATGGACTACAGTCCATGTAGTCCAGGCTCCTCTGTGCGTGGAATTTCCCAGACAAGAATATTGGAGTGGGTTACCATTTCCTCCTCCGGGAAATCTTCCTGACCCAGGGATCAACCCTGTGTCTCCTGCATTGGCAGGCAGGTTCTTTACCAGTGAGCCCCCAGGGAAGCCTGCCTGGCACATTGTTGTTGTTTAGTCGATAAGTTTTGTCCAACTCTTGGTCACTCCGAGGACTGCAGCACTCCAGGCTCCTCTGTCCTCCACTGTCTCCCAATAATTTGCTCAAATTCATGTCCATGAAGGCTGGGAGAGATCGATGGCAAAAAGGAAAGGGGACAGCAGAAGAAGAGATGGTTAAATGGCTTCACTGACTCAATGGACATGAATTTGAGTCTGGCACATAGCACTAAGTAATTGTTAGGAAAGTTTTTGCTCCAAAATCACGGCAGATGGTGACTGCAGCCATGAAATTAAAAGACTCTTGCTCCTTGGGTGAGAAGTTATGACCAACCTAGACAGCATATTAAAAAGCAGAGACATTACGTTGCCAAAAAAGGTCCATCTAGTCAAAGCTATCATTTTTCCCTTAGTCATGTATGGATGTGAGAGTTGGGCCATAAAGAAAGCTGAGTGCCGAAGAATTGATGCTTTTGAACTGTGGTGTTGGAAAAGACACTGACTTGAGAGTCCCTTGCACTGCAAAGAGATCCAACCAGTCCATCCTAAAGGAAATCAGTCCTGAATATTCATTGGAAGGACTGATGCTGAAGCTGAGACACCAATACTTTGGCCACCTGTTGGGAAGAACTGACTCATTTGAAAAGACCCTGATGCTGGGAAAGTTTGAAGGCAGGAGGAGAGGGGGACAACAGAGGATGAGATGGTTGGATGGTATCACCGACTCAATGGAGATGAGTTTGAGTAAACTCCACGAGTTGGTGATGGACAGGGAGGCCTGGCGTGCTGCGTCCATGGAGTCGCAAAGAGTCGGACACGACTGAGCGACTGAACTGAACTGAAAGGTTAGGACCACTGACTTAGGTGACCGCTGGGAGCCGGAGCTGCTTGCATGTCTGCAGCTTGTGCACTGCACAGTCCCAGCGCTGTTTACAGTAGGGGCCTTGCAGGGTTCAGTGCGAATGCCCTGCTCACAGCTCTTCCTTTTCTAACACATTAAAACTTTATGGTTGTTCCACACTTAATGACAATTTGTTGACCTATATAAAAACACGGAAAGGACAAATACCCAAATGTCAACAGTGGTCCTCTGTGGGTGCCAAAATGACAGAATTCTATTTATTTATTTAGTTTGGCCATATGGCGGCTTGTGTTATCTTACATCCCCAACCAGGGATCTTAGTTCCACGACGAGGGATTGAACCCAGGCCCACAGCAATGAAAGTGCAGAGTCCTAACCACTGAACCACTGGAGAATTCCCCAGGATGATGGAATTTTAATTGTTTCCCTATCCTTCTCCTCCCCCACCAAATTTTCTCCATTGATCATGCTTTTGTGATTAGGAATTATAAACAGAATCCCAATTTAAATGTCATTCAGTTCAGTTCAGTCATGTCTGACTCTTTGTGACCCCATGGACACCAGGCCTCCCTGTCCATCACCAACTCCCAGAGTTTACCCAAACTCATGTCTATTGAGTTGGTGATGCCATCCAGCTATCTCATCCTCTGTCATCCCTTTCTCCTCCTGCCTTCAATCTTTCGCAGCATCAGGGTCTTTTCAGATGAGTCAGCTCTTCACATCAGGTGGCCAAAGTATTGGAGTTTCAGATTCAGCATCAGTCCTTCCAGTGAACACCCAGGACTGATCTCCTTTAGCATGGACTGGTTGGATCTCCTTGCAGTCCACGGGACTCTCAAGAGTCTTCTCCAACACCACAGTTCAAAAGCACCAGTTCTTTGGTGCTCAGCTTTCTTTATTGTCCAACTCTCACACCCATACATGACCACTGGAAAAACCATAGCCTTGACTAGACGGACCTTTGTTGGCAAAGTAATGTCTCTGCTTTTTAATATGCTGTCTAAGTTGGTCATAACTTTCCTTCCAAGAAGTTATGTCTTTTAATTTCGTGGCTGCAATCACCATCTGCAGTGATTTTGGAGCCCCCAGAAATGAAGTCAGCCACTGTTTCCACTGTTTCCCCATCTGTTTGCCATGAAACGATGGGACCAGATGCCATGATCTTAGTTTTCTGAATATTGAGCTTTAAGCCAACTTTTTCACTCTCTTCTTTCACTTCCATCAAGAGGCTCTTTAGTTCTTCTTCACTTTCTGCTATAATTAAATAAAAATAAATGCCTTTTGACTAAATGGTCATCATGTCCCGTTCTTCCTGGAGTAAAAGTGGAGATAAAGATAATAAAAGCTCAGAGTCCTTGCTCAGAGCTTCCCTATAAGATGCATGAATGGAGAATAGGGCTGTCCAGCCTGAAGGCTCTAGGCAGTGAATTCAGAAATCAGATCAGATCTTAATTAGAATTATTATCATTTATTGAGCACTTACTCTGTGATGCTTTCTTTAAATGCTTTGCTCATTCCTCCCTGTAAAACGGGATCACGTTATTCATTCCAGACAGACAACTCCCGGAGTATTGAGCAAGTTACTAAAGGAGTAACCAGCGTCAGCTGCCCGAGACCTTGGACAAGCAACTTCGCCTCCTCATTACTCAAATTTCCTCCTCAGTGAAATGATCACTACGAGACTTAAAGGAGATAACACAGTGTCTTAGTATGTACCAGGCACAGTTCTAGGTGTGTTAGGTCCATATCAAGTAATTGTCTTGAGTCCTGTGGCACAGTTGTCATAATTTTCCCCATCTTACAGAGGAGGAGCGGCCTTAGAAACATGAGTAGCTCATCAGAGATCACTTGGCTATCTACCTAGTAACCAAGTAGGATCAAATCAATCTCTACATGACCCCAAAGCCATGGGAACAGTCCTTTCAACCTCCTACGTTCCCTTTTGGAACAAAGTCATAGATGGATGGATGGGTAGAAGGAAAGAGGGAAGGAAGGAAGGAAAGTAGATAGGTTGGTTGATAGCACTTACAAGATAAGGAAGGATTTGTTAGTGTTTGGACTGCAGAAACTATACAAGCAAAAACCTAACTTGGCACTTTGTCCCAGATCTCAACAAGTGTTCAAGAAATATTTGTTGAATAAATGAAAAATGAACAAATGTATATAATTTACACAAGGTCATTGACATTCTGGCATATCAGCTGTTGCCTTCTGTCCCCACCCCCAAGGAAAGACCTCCAAAGTTTGAATCCCTGCCCTTCCTGTTATTAGCATATACCTTTGGGCCAGTGACTCAGTCTGTAAATTTCAGGGTCCCGTCATTCCTCAGTGGAATTGATCTGCAGAGTAAATAAGGTCTCCATGTAGAGCTAATGGCCACAAGTAGGAAGCTGGTATTATAGGTGAGCACCCAGCTTAGAAAGGGATCCCCAGCCACCATCTATTACCAGCCTGACTACACCGTTTATGGCACTCAGCACTCAACCTTCCTTAAAAACAGTTCCTTCAGGGGATTCCCTGGTGGGCCAGTGGTTAGGATTCGGCATTTTCATTGCTGAGGCCAGGGTTCAATCCCTGGTCTGGGAAATAAGATCCAGCAAGCTGCTCGGTGCAGTCAGGAGAAAAAAAAAAAAAGCCTCTTCTATGTGTAAAGCTCTTTTCAGTTTACATAGTGTTTTCCTATGGTTTATCTTCTCTGATAAAGGCACAGAGAGGTAGGGGCAGAATGTTATCACTGGCCCCACATGATACGTAAACTGAAGCTTAAAGAAAACACCCCTACTTAAGCAAAGGAGTTTGGATTGGAACTTCAGATTTGGGACAAAGCATCACCATAGATACCATTATGGATCCTGTGGGTACCATGATACTGTCCTGGGTGTGCACCTAAAGACCTATGTCATCCTGATATTCTTCTCTATCCCATCGCTGGACTTAAGTGGAGGGACAGGCCACACACCCGACAGAGAATAGAGCCCTAACTAGAAGGCATGGAAGTTGTACTCATGAAAAATCAGGACAAGGAGTGGGCAGCCTCCAGGCCCTTTTACACTCTGTACTTTAGATTTTTATCACAGTTCGGCCAATAACACCACCTACATTCCTTCTGAGAGGAATGGAAGGACATGAGGAATCATGGGGTCTAAAGTCATCCTGAGAGCTCCCTTAAAAGAAAAAAAAAATCTGGAAACAGAGAAGCAGGTCCCGTCCCCCCCCCCCCCCCCCCCCCCCCCCCCTCACTTATCAAGTTGATAAAGATGAAAGAAAATGGTGTTGGCAAGGGTGAGAGAAAGCAAGCTCTCTCCTTGCTGGAGGGAGTGTGAATCAGTCCAGACTGGAGTTAGATTTCAACTCATCCTTTGATCTTACATTTTCACTCATAGGAATTTAGCCTAAGCAAATAATCTTGTGTGCATAGAGTTATCTGCAAGGATACGCATCAGAGCATTGTTTATAATTCTGAAAAATTAGAATTAATATAAATACCCTTCAGCAGAGTGTCTCGGTGAAGTAAATTAAGATCCTTGAATATAGTTGGATATTGAGTCACAGTTCAAAAGGATGCTACAGAAGGCCCCTTAACACCATGGAAATTACTTCCTGTGCTTGCAGCACAATTGTTAGCATTTTTGAGCCTTTACTGTGTCAGAGGCTCTGAGCTCAGTTGTTTAGTCTCATTTAATCCTCACAACCACCAAGTGAAGTAAGGACTGTTTTCTTTATTTTACAAACAAGGGAAGTGAGGCCTAGAAGTAAAATGTCTGGTGATGGTTCAGTCACTTGGTCGTGTCTAGCTCTTTGTGATCTCAAGGACTGCAGCACACTGGGCTTGCCTGCCCTTCACCATCTCCCGGTGTTTTCTCCACCCAAGGTCATTTCCAGGGGGGTCTCTGAGCCGGTTTCGAATGAACCTGGGTCTCATTCCCTACTTTAAAGTCTTTCAGCTACTCTTTACCTTTAGTAAATGAGTCCTTTCCTATTTTTAAAACCCATTTCCTTGAGAAAGAATAGGAAAGATACACACCAGAGAGTATCAGGGGTAGTAGGATCAAGTGATTTATAGTTTATTCTTTTTGTATATCTGTCAACATTATTTCTCCCATTAATAGGAAAAAAAAAAAAGACTCTTTATAGTTATTAAAGAATAGCAAGTCAGAGAAGGCTTATCCCTGAACTGAGAAGGAAGAAGCAGCCGGACTGCTATCTGGAGATTCTTTCTCTGTTGCCAGGAACCAGCCAGAACAGGAGTCAGCCAGAGAGAGGAGTGCCAGGAAGAATGTGGCCGCCGTCCTGGAAGGAGAGGACCCACTGGAAGGAAGAGAAGCTGGCAGGTTCAGCCCCCGAGTCTCACTGTCTCCAGGGACCTGGCCTCGGGCCCTAGTAGCCCACCTCCTACCACTGTGGCCATCACCAGCCCACTTCAGAAAAAGGCCTTTAAACCAGATATGGCCCACTTCCAAATAAAAGAGAGTTTCAAATAAAAGTAAATGAGAAGCACCATAGTCCCTACCACCACCTTGACAAGCAAGGCTGAAAATGCATTTCCTTCTGTATTTCATCTATCTGAAGGGGTCACCCTGGGGACTTGGGTATTCAGATGACGGTCTCCTTGAGAGAATGTCCAAGGCCTGGTTTGGACAGAGAGGATCCTGGACCCCCAGTGCTGAATAGAAGTGAGTGTCTGGGGTCAGGGCTGCCATCCTAGGTTAGAGGGAGGTGGGGTAGGGTGGGGTGGTTGGGACAGGTGTGGCCTGCTCCAGGCTCAGGGAGGTTCAGATAGGCACAATTAACCCATAAAGTCCTTTCCTTTTCCTTAAGGGTTTTCCTTCTAAGCCTGCCTCTGATGTTTGTTTAGATCTCATCTCACTGGAGGAGGGTGTAGTAGGAGGGGAGGGGATTTGCTCCCAAGCTCTATACCTTCTCGGGAAGGCAGAGGCCACAAGGTCAGAGGTTAAGTGCTTGACCTTGCTCTTTGAGGGGAGGGTTTTTCTGAATCCTCCGCTGGCCTGCCCAGAAGACTTTCTCAAGTGTCTCAGTTGGGGTTAAGATGGTGAAGCAGTGGGGAAAGGAAAGGGGAATAGTTCAGAAACTGGCCTAGAGGGACCTGTGGACCATATCTTACACCAAGATCAGGTCCCTCAGGCAGGCAGTTAACTCGGAAGGTCAGCAACCACTCACCACCCCTCACTTGCCCCAACTTACCTTTCAGCCTGTGCTCCAGACAGGCTGCCCATACGGCCTGGCCATGTGTCCTGTGACAGCGTGGCCAGCTTTCCCTCCTCGACCAGACTCATTTATTTGGCTCTATCACGCCCGCCCCAATTGCTCTGGAATGCAGTTGCGTTCACATGTCAATTCGTTTGTTCATTCAGTGAGTATGGAGACACTTCATGATTCAGTTCAGTGGCTCAGTCGTGTCTGACTCTGTGACCCCATGGACTGCAGCATCTCCCTGAGTTTGCTCAAACTCATGTCCATCGCATCAGTGATACCATCCAACCACCTCATCTTCTGCCATCCCCTTCTCCCGCCTTCAGTCTTCCCCACCATCAGGGTCTTTTCCAATGAGTTGGTTCTTCGTATCAGGTGGCCAAAGTACTATTATAATGATTTTTTTTTTATTTCATCATTAAAAATTATAATAGTAGCTCTTATTTTTTGAACACCTAACTATATACCAGACTGGGCTAAGCATGTTACCTGCCCTGTTTCACTCAATCCTTACAGCTGCCCAAAGATTGGGGTACAGTCATCACCTCCGCTTTATAGGTATGGAAACAGGCTTAAAGGAGTGAAGGAATTGAGTGACCAAGCCAGGATTTGAACCCAGGCTGTTTGGCTCATAAATTCAATCCCTGAACCACCACTTTCTGTTGCTTGAAAAAGCAGTCATTCGGTGAACTTAGTGAGGACCAGCTCTGGCCAAGCATCTATACACAGGGTGGGGAGAGAAATGAATAATGTGTCTCTTTCTGCCCACACAGAAACCTGGTGGGTGAACCTTCATCAAATTCGTCTATTGGGGAAAATCTTTCCAGCTTTCTCTGTCACTGTAGTTTTGTAAAATTGGTTTTACTCTCAGATAACAGTGATTCATGTGTGTTGGAGGATTCCGTGAGAGTTCACTGTAATCTGCAGATGCACCTGCCTCAGCACACAGACATACACGACAAAGCACATCCAGTTGAGAACTTAGATTCTGGAGATGAGCTACTTGAGTTCAGATCTTGACTCTGCCATTTACTACCTGGGTGACCTTGGGCAAGTCCTTTGATCTCTTTGATCCTCCGTTTCTTCATCTTTAAACTCTTGCTTTGTGAGGTTTTACATGAGGTAACACATGCAAAGCATTTACACCACTCTTGCACACTCAGTCCTAGTGATGTAAGCTATTGTTGCTCTCATTAGGGATGGGCCTCTCTGGCCTCCCCAGTGAAGCAGCGCGTTCCTGTCTTGTCTCTTCCTTCGCTCAGCCCAAGGCAGGTGTACCTGGGAGTTAGTCACCAGGCTCCCCAGCCTCACAAGGGACGTGAGCATGAATGTTCCCCTCTGCCCAGGCGCCTCTGAAATCTGACTCATGCCTCAGCAGCTCTCTCTAAAGAGAGATTTCCTTCAGCCTCAACCCACTCCCCTTTCGCAATAAACTCAGTCCTTCGTACCCTCTTAGGTCATGTGCAGATCCCCAGTTTTACCCGTTGATGGACCCTAGGGAAATCTCCCTGGAGATCAGACTCCAAGCAGTTGATAGGCAGATGATAGAGACTCGACTCTAGCCAGTGGCTTTGACTGTTTGTACTTCCAAATCCTAGTGGTCTCTGGATTGACTGATGACCCAGTTTAGGGTCACAGCATTTCATTTGGTCACCCTTGGACTAAGTGACAACTCAGACACAAGCACCATCTGGATGGGACAAGCTCGGGAGCTTATGTCTGTTTCACTGTCTTCCACTCCCCAGTCCCTGGGGGTTCCCTGAAGCCCGTGAGGTGGTTTGGGGGTATTGAAAGTGAAGGCTGTCAACTTAAAAGGCTGGTTGTGCCTTAGATCGTTTCCTCTTAATGGTGCCCAGCTCCAGGTCTCAAGACCCAGGTTCAAAACCTGGCTCAGCCTTTTGAGCATTTTGACTCAGCTGGGACCCTGAACTTCATAACTTGTTTCTCAGGAGTCTGTTTTCTCATCTGTAAAATGGGAATAATAATATTATTTACCTGATAGGGTGGTTATGAAGATTAAATGCATGTGAAGCATTTAATATAGTGCCTGGCACATAGTCCTGTTGTTATGCAATGAGGGAGAAAGTGCTGGACCCAGAGTCAAGAGATTGGGGTATGAGTTACAGCTCTGCTACTCACTGGCTGTGTAGACCTTAGGCAAATTAACTCCCCATCTCTGAGTTTCTTCAACTGTGAAATGAAAGTTTTCGGTTTGAAGGTCAGTTGGGTTCTTTCTAGCTGCTTTATATCTGTGAACTGTGACTTGGAAGATACATATTAAAAAAAAAAAAGAAAGGAAAAAAAAGTTAGTACCAGATGTTTTCATCTGCCAAAATTACATTTCACAGATCCCAGGACCCTTGACACCATCCTCAAAAGCCACCCCATCCAGCAGCCTCTAGGCTGAGCCTTCTCAACCCAAGGAATGGTTAGAAAGACCCCAAGGAGCTTACTGGAGCCACAGCCAGGCCTCAGGGAAGAAAGCAAAGCGGGCATCACAATGAATCGCATCACAATGAACCAGCCAGCCCCCAACATCATACCCCAGGATTTTACCCTTCTGTGCCTTAGGCAAGAGTCTAATCAGAAAGGATTAGTTTATGGCAAGGGATGTTTCCTCTGTAGCCTGAAAATGTTCTGATCTGTTGTAAAACAGGCCCTGCCAGGGAAATAGAACCGTTTCTTTTTGGTCTAGTGACCTCTGACACTAGCCCCCTTCCTGGCCCGCCTGGCTGTCTCAGCCACCCCCTGCAGGAGACAAATGCTGGGAAAGGAGGAGGCCAGCATCCCTAAGGACTGGGGAGTCCCTCCCCAGAGAGTCTCCGTGAGTGCGGAGTCCCACTGAGTTATTCTTACGCTCAGTTTGAAGCCTCAGGGGGATGAGCTGGGTGGGATTTGCCGAAAATGAAAAGCAGTTTGTTTCAACTCGTTCTACCAGTTTTTACCCTCTACACTTAGCCATTTTAATGTAACAAATTTACCTTTACAGAGACAATGGGTCTAAGAGGAATTTGTTGGTGGTAACTAGCAAACAGAGGGACCTTTTATGAAGCCCTGAGTACCCAGCATTGTGCCAAACATCTTACATCCATTGTCTTACTTAAAAAATTACTGGCTTCACAGTGGGGAAAAAAATATGGTTTTAATTTTTCAGATGAGAAAACTGAGGTCCAGAGAAGTAAAGTGATTTGCTCAGAGTCAGTGGTGGAGCTGGCACTTGTATTACTGCAGGGCATCCACTGCAGCCGTGACTTCATGCAAACTTGAGTGAAGCCTTGTTGGTGAAGCTGTGCCCTGGCAGATTTACCCACCTTCTCTGAAACCTCAGGCTCAGTTTTCTAGAAGACCTACCTGATCGCTTTTTAGTCCTTTGATAGCTCAGGGCTCTTGGGGCTTCCCTGATAGCTCAGTTGGTAAAGAATCCGCCTGCAATGCAGGAGACCCCGGTTCAATCCCTGGGTTGGGAAGATCCCCTCAGGAAGGGACAGGCTGCCCATTCCAGTGTTCGTAGGCTTCCCTATGACTCAGCTGGCAAAGAATCTGCCTACCATGTGGGAGCCTTAGGTTCAATCCTTGGGTTGGGAAGATCCACTAGAGAAGGGGAAGGCTACCCACTCCAATATTCTGGCTTGGAGAATTCCATGGACTGTATATATGTATAGTCCATGGGGTGACAAAGAGTTGGACACAGCTGAGCAACTTTCACTTTCACTTCTGTCTGTGGAAAAGAGGCTGTTTCCAGGGGTAAATGGGGGACCCTGTTTCCCAGTCACCGTCATATCCAGTGGCCAGTTACCATGGACTTTTCCTCCCTGCCCAGCAAATGGCACGTCCAAATGCAGCCAGTTTTGAAAATAAGGAGTCTGGAAGAATTCTGCCATGTGGATCCCTTTTCCAGGGTCTAGTCCAGCCCTGAGCCCGTTCCTTCTCTAACTGGGAGGTGTTCTTCCTCTCCTTTTGTGTAACTGCTCAGCCCCAAGGCAAGCCCACTTCCTTCCTTCCTTCCTCTCCCTGTGCCTTTCCGAGGAAGTAGCTGCCTTTTCTTCACAACAGGCGGCTCTGCCCTGCTCTGGCTCCAGTTTCCTGTGCCGATTGCTCCATAACTCTCCTGGACCCAAACTGCTTCCAAATTCTCTGAAGTCAGTTCAGTTCAGTTCAGTTGCTCAGTCGTGTCTTTGCGACCCCATGAGCCGCAGCACGCCAGGCCTCCCTGTCCATCGCCAACTCCCGGAGTCCACCCAAACCCATGTCCGTTGAGTCGGTGATGCCATCCAACTATCTCATCCTCTGTCATCCTCTTCTCCTCCTGCCCTCAATCTCTCCCAGCATCAGGGTCTTTTCAAATGAGTCAGCTCTTCGCATCAGGTGGCCAAAGTATTGGAGTTTCAGCTTCAACATCAAAACCAGTCTGTTGTTCCATGTTCAGTTCTAACTATTGCTTCCTGACCTGCATACAGGTTTCTCAAGAGGCAGGTCAGGTGGTCTGGTATGCCCGTCTCTTCCAGAATTTTCCACAGTTTATTGTGATCCACACAGTCAGAGGCTTTGGCATAGTCAATAAAGCAGAAATAGATGTTTTGGAACTCTCTTGCTTTTTCAATGATCCAGCAGATGTTGACAATTTGATCTCTGGTTCCTCTGCCTTTTCTAAAACCAGCTTGTATATCTGGAAGTTTATGGTTCATGTATTGCTGAAGCCTGGCTTGGAGAATTTTGAGTATTACTTTACTGGTGTGTGAGATGAGTGCAATTGTGCCATAGACTGAGCATTCTTTGGCATTGCCTTTCTTTAGGATTGGAATGAAAACTGACATTTTGCAGTCCTGTGGCCATTGCTGAGTTTTCCAAATTTGCTGACATATTGAGTGCAGCACTTTCACAGCATCATCTTTCAGGATTTGAAATAGCCCATCTGGAATTCCATCACCTCCACTAGCTTTGTTCGTAGTGATGCTTTCTAAGGCCCACTTGACTTCACATTCCAGGGTGTCTTGCTCTAGGTGAGTGTGAGTGATCACACCATTGTGATTATCTGGGTCGTGAAGATCTTTTTTGTACAGTTCTTCTGTGTATTCTTGCCGCCTCTTAATATCTTCTGCTTCTCTTAGGTCCATACCATATCTGTCCTTTATTGACCCCATCTTTGCATGAGATGCTTCCTTGGTATCTCTAATTTTCTTGAAGAGATCTGTAGTCTTTCTCATTCTATTGTGTTCCTCTATTTCTTTGCATTGATTGCTAAGGAAGGCTTTCTTATCTCTCCTTGGTATTCTTTAGAACTGCATTCAAATGGGTATATCTTTCCTTTTCTCCTTTGCTTTTCACTTCTCTTCTTTTCACAGCTATTTGTAAGGCCTCCTCAGACAACCATTTTGCTTTTATCAGGGAATCCCAAAAATGTATTCTGGGAGACACAAGAAAGCCCAAGATGCTCCAGGCAGAAAAGGTTCTGGGATCGAAACATTTGGGGAAGGCTTCATACCAGACTCTTCCAGAAATTAACCATATACAGCTATCAAGCCAAGTCACTGAAGAGTTCTACAGTGAAAAAGCCAGTTTTGTTTTTTCAACAAACTGAGCTGACCATGAAATCATCTCCCTCTCATCTCTTCTATATACCTATAAAACCCGCAGAACCAGTGATCCACTGTGGAACATACTTAAATGCTACCCCCAGCCTGCCACCAAAGTATAAAGTTGACCTTCCTATTTCTCTGGGCTGATCTAACATGCAAAATAATCTAACGTGACATCTGCTCAGTAGGGTCTTCATGAAAGACGTACTCAATGGGGATGAAGAGTCTCTTAACATGATTTGATGAAGATGCTACTTCCAGAAAAAATCAGGGGTTTTGCAGGGAAGAGGAGGCGTAGGATTTGAAACAACCAGCAGACAGGGTTTACCAACTTTTATTCACTTCCTATTCCGAGGACCAAGCCAGGGATGGAATGTAATGGAGAATAGTCAAAGTTCAGAGCTCAGTATCAGATAAATACTTTTAGGGTGAAGGAATGAATGATCTAATAATTGATCCCCTGGCCTCCAGGCTGTTCCCACTCCATTTTTATGCTACCGGCTGTATATATATATGGTCTCAAAACCCAGATCTCATCAGTCCACTTTATTGTCCAGAAATCCTGTTTCCTGCTTCCTTCAGGATAAAGTCTATATGCCTTGACCTGGCATTTAACACCCTGTGAAGCAGAGCTACTGAAAAACTCATGAAATTAAAAGATACTTACTCCTTGGAAGGAAAGTTATGACCAACCTAGATAGCATATTAAAAAGCAGAGACACTTTGCCAACAAAGGTCCGTCTAGTCAAGGCTATGGTTTTTCCAGTGGTCATGTATGGATGTGAGAGTTGGACTATAAAGAAAGCTGAGCGCTGAAGAATTGATGCTTTTGAACTGTGGTGTTGGAGAAGACTCTTGAGAGTCCCTTGGACTGCAAGGAGATCCAACCAGTCCATCCTAAAGGAGATCAGTCCTGGGTGTTCATTGGAAGGACTGATGCTGAAGCTGAAACTCCAATACTTTGGCCACCTGATGTGAAGAGCTGACTCATTTGAAAAGACCCTGATGCTGGGAGGGATTGGGGACAGGAGGAGAAGAGGATGACAGAGGATGAGATGGCTGGATGGCATCACCGACTCAATGGATGTGAGTTTGAGTAATCTCTGGGAATTGGTGATGGACAGGGAGGCCTGGCATGCTGCGATTCATGGGGTTACAAAGAGTCAGACATGACTGAGCGACTGAACTGAACTGAACTGAAAGCAAAATTCCAACCTACCTTTTCATCCTTCTTTCCTACTCCTTCCCATTGGGTACTCATTCTAGTCTCACCCACCTCCCCAAATACAATCTTTCTTCCTTCCTGCCTTTTCCCAAGCTATTCTTTTTGCCTCGGATTTCCTCCCCTGCCCCTACTGTCACGTATTCAGTCCTAGCAATGCTTCGAGGCTCAGATCCAAACCAGCCACCCGTGTTAAATGAAAGCAAGACACAAAAGGAGAACATTATGAATGATTCCATTTAGACAAAAGTCAAAATTAGGCAAAAACTAATCTGTTGTGGAAAAAAGCAATCAGAGCTGTGGCTGCCTTTGGGGAGTAGCGCTTGATTGGAAGGGGAGGGGTGCATAGGGGCTCTTCGGGTATGGAGAGATCCTCTACCTTAATTGTGATGGTGGTTACACAAGTGTGTACATTTGTCTGAATTCATTGTATTGTACACTTAAGATCTGTGCAGTTCCCTGTGTTGTAAATTTAATCTAGAAATAAAAATCTTACCACATAGGTCGCCCTGACAAGAATTCACTCCATTGTCCATTATTCTCTCAAAGCACTCTGTCTACACCAGCAGCTTACCATAGACCACCTGCCATGAGAATTACTCATGTTCATGTCTGCTTCCCCGATGTGAGCTCCCTCCAGGGCCCTCAGACAACAGTTCAGTTCTGTCGCTCAGTCATCTCCAACTCTTTACAACCCCATGAACCGCAGCACGCCAGGCCTCCCTGTCCATCACCAATTCCCAGAGTCCACCTAAACCCATGTCCATTAAGTCGGTGATGCCATCCAACCACCTCATCCTCTGTCATCCCCTTCTCCTCCTGTCCTCAATGTTTCGCAGCATCAGGGTCTTTTCAAATGAGTCAGCTCTTCACATCAGGTGGCCAAAGTATTGGAGTTTCAGCTTCAGCATCAGTCCTTCCAATGAACACCCAGGACTGATCTCCTTTAGGATGGACTGGTTGGATCTCCTTGCAGTCCAAGGGACTCTCAAGAGTCTTCTCCAACACCACAGTTCAAAAGCATCAGTTCTTCGGCACTCAGCTTTCTTTATAGTCCAACTCTCACATCCATACATGACCACTGGAAAAACCATAGCCTTGACTAGACGGACCTTTGTTGGCAAAGTAATGTCTCTGCTTTTTAATATGCTGTCTAGGTTGGTCATAACTTTCCTTCCAAGGAGTAAGCGTCTTTTAATTTCATGGCTGCAATCACCATCTGCAGTGATTTTGGAGCCCAAAAAAATAAAGTCTGACACTGTTTCCACTGTTTCCCCATCTATTTCCCATGAAGTGATGGGACCAGATGCCATGATCTTAGTTTTCTGAATGTTGAGCTTTAAGCCAACTTTTTCACTCTCCTCTTTCACTTTCATCAAGAGGCTCTTTAGTTCTTCTTCACTTTCTGCCATAAGGGTGGTGTCATCTGCATATCTGAGGTTATTGATATTTCTCCCGGCAATCTTGATTCCAGCTTGTGCTTCTTCCAGCCCAGCGTTTCTCATGATGTACTCTGCATATAAGTTAAATAAGCAGGGTGACAATATACAGCCTTGACGTACTCCTTTTCCTATTTGGAACCAGTCTGTTGTTCCATGTCCAGTTCTAACTGTTGCTTCCTGACCTG